AAAAAAGGTCGAGTTGGATACATGCAGGGAATATTTGAAATTTTAGATCTCTCGAATGACAAAGGTGAAGTTGAGCAGACTAAATTAGTGGATTCAATAAACGAAGTACATAACATTGGTAAGTCAATCGACATGACTGGTATTTTAAGTTTGATTTTAGTGGATTTTGTAAACTACATTTATTTTGGTTAATAAATTTTTTAATTCGTATTTGTTATATGTTAAATAAATTGTTTCGAGGCCATATTACGAATAATCCAGATGTTTATTTATTTCAAAATTCTATAAAGAGAATATGTTTTGACACTTACAGTACCCTCTTCAGGTTTTTCATCTTTTTACACCACTTAATATCCATAATTATTGACAAAATTGACATAAATATTATCATAATCGAGCATGGATACCTCCTGAAGGAGGTGTCCACATATTAAATTACATTTTTAATAATAAGATTAAATTATTGTGAATTGATTTTATTTTGTTACATCTTGATACTTTTTTCACACATCTTGACACAAAAAAGTGTCAAGTTGTAACAAAATAAAATCAATTTAGAATAATTATGATAATATTTATGTTAATTTTGTCAATAATTATTAATGTTATGTGGTGTAAAAACTGAAAAACCTGAAGTGGCCACTCTAAGTGTTTAAACATGTTGTCTTTATAGAATTTTGAAATAAATGAACATCTTGATTATTCTTAATAAGGCCTCGTAAAAATTTATTCAAATTTATTTATTATTGATTATTATTTGTTTATTCTTTTATTTTCCTTCTCTTAATTCACGATAGAGTTTTTCTCAATTGATCATATTTTCAAAGTAGATGTTCAGTAAACTAATTTAATAAATTAATAATTTAGTTAACAAAAATTTAATATTAGTTTGATTTGTATTTTTCTTTCTAGAACAAGAAATAGTTTCTATGCCGATGTCTGACAATTTCAATGAAGATAAGGTTTCTGAAGATGAGGTTTCTGAAGATGATAATTTGAAATCAGACGATAATGAAGCATTTTCAAATGTGTCATCAACATTAAAATCAAAAAGAGGTCGTCAACCAATTTTAAAAGAAAAACTTTGTGCAGCATTTGATAAATGTGAAATTAGTGACAGGGATGCTGTTCACATTTTAATAGCGTGTGTTGAAGCTCTTGATTTGGACCCCAGGGAATTTATTATAAATCGATCGTCAATTAAAAGAAAAAGGGAAGAATTTCGAAAAGAAACTGCCAATCAGATTCATATTAAATTTTCTAACGAAACTAGAGATTTTGTCATTGTTCACTGGGATTCAAAAATTTTACCCGATTTAACTGGTAAAGAAACTGTCGACCGTCTTCCTGTGATTGCGACGACTTCCGATAAAGAGCAGTTACTCGGTGTACCAAAATTGAGTTCTGCAACAGGAGAACAAGTGGCTTGTGCGGTTTATAATTTATTGCAAAGTTGGTCATTGGAGAAACAAACACAGGCATTCGTTTTCGATACAACGGCTGCTAATTCTGGTCATTTAAACGGTGCCTGTGTTCTTCTCGAACAAAAATTAAACAGAGATATTCTGTTTTTAGCTTGTAGACATCATGTGTACGAAATAATGCTTGCCAGTGTCTTCGAAGAATCAAAACTTTCTGTTCAGTCTGGTCCTGATATTCAAATTTTTAAGAAATTTCAAAAAATCTGGCCAAAAATCGACACAACTAAATTTATGACATGGGATTCAGACGAGGATGTTCGCAAATGCTTGAATTCCGTAAAAACAAACATTCTTTCCTTTGCACAGAAGAAAATTTTGGAAGATTTTCCACGTGATGATTACAAAGAGTTCTTAGATCTAGTTATAATTTTTTTAGGAGATAGCCCTCCAAGTGGAATAAGATTCAGAAGTCCTGGAGCCTATCACAGAGCACGGTGGATGGCAAAAGCCATATACTGCTTAAAAATATTTCTATTTAGAGACCAATTTAAACTAACGAAACATGAAAAAAATGCAATAAATAATATATGTTGTTTTATCATTTATTGCTATGTCGAGGCATGGTTTCGTTCTGCAAACGCCACTGAAGCTCCAATTACAGATTATCATTTTTTGAAAAAATTGGAAAGTTTTAAAATGTATAACCCACGAATAGCAGAAAAAGTGCAAAAAAAATGTTTAAACCATCTATGGTATTTAAACGATGAATGTGCTGCATTGTGCTTATTTGACAAGAGACTTGAATATCAGAAGCGAAAAACCGTGGCTGATAAAATAATTGAATTTGAATCTATTAATGAAGATTGTAAAACTGCAACTCAAAAAAAAACGTTATCCTACAAAGAACTTAACTCGTTCTTGAGATCAGATTTATTTCCAGAAAATTTAATTACAAATCGGTCGAAGCAGCTTTTCCAAAGATTTAATATCCCTACAGATTTTTTATATGAAGATCCTTCTTTCTGGGAAGAAAACAAAAATTTCCAAAAAGGGCGAAAAATTTTTCTGTCCTTAAAAGTCGTGAATGATGTTGCTGAAAGAGGGGTGAAACTTATAGAAGAGTTCAATGACAAGTTTACTAAAAATGAAGATCAAAAGCAGTACTTATTACAGGTAAATTTTTTTGAAGACTGAAATTTCTGTTGTATGTATTATATTTCAATACTCTTTGCATATTTAAATATGAAAATATTAATAAATATTTTTCCTGTAAACTAATTCTAAATAATTTTTTAGGTCGTTCAGAATTATCGCCAAAAATACCCAGGTTTCAGTAAATCAGTTTTATTATCATAAAGTTATGATTAGTTCACATGTCTTTTTCAAAGTAGAAATAAATTTTATTTTATTATTATAATAAAGCTTATTGTTTCCAATCTGAAAATTTGTATAACAGCCAAAACAAAAAATATATTTGTGTAGTTTTATTTGCTAATAAATTATTTTTATTGATCATTCCAAAGAGTAAATTAATTTTCATTTTCATTGCAAAGAGAACGAACAGAAAAACAAATTCAATTGTTAACCAATTATTGAGATTATATTTGATAGTTAGCTTTGATTTATAATAATTGTAAAATCTTAAAAATCAAGAAATCACTAAAAATTTGAATTTCTTTAGGTCTATATTGAAAATAGTAATAACAAAAAAAATAATTTGTTTAAATAATTGTTTACTTATTTATTTAGAATTATAACGAGACATGTCATTTTGTCGAAAATGAAGTTTCAAATTTAAGATACTATTGCAATTGTAAACAGCAGAACTACTTGCAAAATTAAGGGGGAAGAGCAACTTTGTAAAATACATTTAAACACTAGTTTTAAAATAACAAAAATAATTTGTTTAAACAATTTTTGTTGACATTTTTTTAAATAAACTGTTATTTATTGCAGTTCATGTCAATAAAAGTTATAAAATTAAAAAAAACATCATTTTCCAGATATTTTTAACAACAATTTTACAGTAACAACAATATATTGTTTAAACAAATTGCAAATTATTGAAAAATACGATTAATAGTATTTGTTCAATTTGTAAATAAAAAATCTTGCAAAAAAGACTATAAAAAATATTAATAAACAATTTTTTAACGATTTTTCCCTGATTTTGCATTTTTTGAGGGTTTTTAGGGGCTGTTTAAAAAATATTTGTTATTAAAAATTCATAAATAAATTATTGGATCTTATTCTTTGAACATAAATGAAGAAAAACAAAGTGGTCCGATAAAAAAATATTCATTTTTCATCATTTCATAGCAAATCTACGAAAAAACGTTTTTTCCCCATGCAAAATGCATGTAAAAATTCAAGTGCGATGAGGCACCATTAAATATTAATTTAAAAAAAAAAAAAATACGTGTCTCTTATTTTTCCATGCTTAACAAAATGAGGGGTTACGAACTTTAAAATTCGAAAATTTGTTTTTTAAGGACCACCCTAAAATACATATAATATAATATTTTCTAAAAACAATTTAATTATTTAACTTTTACATATCCTGTTTATTTTCCGGTTTATATTTTTCCAACATAATTCCTGTTATATTTATAACATTTTGTCACATTTATATTGAGAATCACTGTTTTCCCCGCGTCGTTTTTGGTTTTTTTGTTTCTGGGGTTGTAGTAGGGACCAAAAAAATATATTGTCGATTAATTAAAAAGGGATACGAGCCTTCGAATTAACATAACAACGAAAAAATCGAAAAATTTGAAAAAGTAAGGCACGTTTATATTGAGAACCACTGTTTTCCCCGAGTTGTTTTTTGTTTTTTCGTTTTTGGGTATGTAGTAGGGACCTAAAAAATATATTGCCGATTAATTAAAAAGGGATCAAAGCCTTCGAATTATCATAACAACGAAAAAATTTGAAAAAGTTAGGCACGTTTATATTGAGAACCACTGTTTTCCCGCGTTGTTTTTGGTTTTTTCGTGCTTGGGGATGTAGTAGGGACCTAAAAAATATATTGCCGATTAATTAAAAAGGGATCTAAGCCTTCGAATTAACATAAAATTGAAAAAATAGTAAAATTCGAAAAAAAAAGTCACGTTTATATTGAGAATCATTGTTTTCCCCGCGTTATTTTTGCATTTTTCGTTTTTGGGGATGTAGTAGGGACCTAAAAAATATATTGTTTTAAGAAAAAAAATTTTTTTCGTCGAATCAACGTTGGTAACTCCAGTCTCATAAATGGATTTCCATTCTCATGTGAGAATTCTCATTTTTATCCCAAATATTTTAAAAATAAAATATTTATAACTTAAATAAATATAATATAAATAGTATAATATTAAGTATTGTATGATACAGCATATCGTAATTAAAATAATTTAATTGTAAAATGAAATAAAAGTATATTTTTACGATTTTTTTTTATAGTGAAACTTATAGTTCTATATATTTTGACCTCACGTAATTAATGGATGTCCCCTAAAGTAAAACTGAATAGAAATAAATCAAATATTTCTTTAAATAAAATAAAAATTAAAATATAATAATTAATAAATGTATATTTACTGATTCCAAGTGGACGGCATTAGGGATTCAACATCTTTTGTGGTTGGTAATGCAAATCCAAATAAAATATCAATGGAATCATTTGAAATTGCTTTTACACCTTCTTGCCAATTTGTATCAACAATACTGTGATTTAAATCATTTGTAATTTGAATTTTATGAATTTTTGCAAATTCTTCCAACATATCAGCACCTATTGAATATGCAATTACAGTACCATTTTCATAAACTATATATGTTAAATTATTTGGAGCCTCCGCTACAAGTTTCCAATATGTCAATGTACATCCAATTGGAGGACAGATAACAAATTTATTGTAACGATGTATTAAATTTTCATCATTTTTTTCATTATTGTTGAAATATTTTTCATCACATTCAATTTTATTAAGAATTTCATTGTAATTTTTTGCATTCGATTTAAATTGAATTACATTAGTAATATTTTTATTTATTAATAAAAATGTTATAAAATAAAATTCTTTTTTATAAAGAAAATTTGCAAGATTTTCAATATTTATAATTAATTTTGTTATAATAAGATACTCGGTCCATTTTGATAGTGACGATTCTTCAAGTTGTTTTCTTAAATTTTGTTCATTGTCCTCAATTATTAGAAATCTTTTTGTTGTATTATCTTCAATTATTTTATTCTCTATTGTAATACTAAAATTTTGATAAAGAATTTCAATAATATCTTGATGATTTTCTTGATTATTGATAATTACATGTAAATTTGTTGTAGCAGCAAAAATTTTTTCCACTGTTGTTACAATACAATTGGAAATTTGTGTTTCTTTTTTTATAATTGATTGAAAATTATCCAAAAATATAGACGATGAAATAGAACATTTTAAGAGTAAAACTATTGTGATTATAATTGACATTATTTTATTTATAATTAATTTTCTCGGAATTATTTTTCTTTTTCGTAGACGTTTGAGAAAAAAAAAAAATGTTTTGTCATTTCAATAACTTTTGTGGTTATTCTTATTGCAAAAAAAAAAACGTATAATAATCGATGGTAGAAATTGTTCTCTAATAGAAGAAAAATATATTTTTATAATAAGTGAAAGAGTTTTAGATAAATACAAATTGATGAAAATTATTGAGTTGAAATAATAATTCGATAACTTTTTTTCCCCCGTTTATCAGATATGATATAATAATGCAAAATAATAGAATATAAAGAAATAAGTGTTTTATTGATTAGAAATATTTTTTATGGCAAATGTTTTTGTGCGGTAAATACATTTTTCAATGGACAGTTTTTTTTTTTTTGTTATCTTTCTCGCAACATCAGAAAATATTTATTGCAAAATGACACGTAATTTTTTAAAAAAAAATTTTTCGCATATACAAATGTATAGCCTTATTTAAAAAAAGAAATTTTATTAAATTAATAATAAGAAGCAAATTAATATCTACACGATTTTAATAATTTGAATAATTAAATATGTATATGTAAATTTAAAAAAAAATTATTTTTAATTTGAATCTTTTTGTAGTTTAAAATTAATATTTGCTCTACATATAATCATAAAAATGTACCTTTTTTTTTAATATTTATGATTTTAATTTTACACAACAAAAATACGTTTATCAATTCAATTTATTATGTAACGTTTCAAATTGTTTCGTAAGAATAAAATTATATTGAAAATAGTCGTAAAAGAGGAAAAAGAAAGTATAGGAATTAAATAAAAATTTTACTATTAAAATAATAAATAAAAAATATAAAAATTATAATTATAAATCATCCTAATATATTTTATTCAATTTATATGCAGGTTTATATACTTTACTATATTTAATATGACTGTTCTTGACATTTACCACTGAATTTATTTACTTTGTCCGAACATATTCTACTTGTACTACTGATAGAAAGAACCCTTTTTTATATTGAACTAGCGCCTCCGACGGCCTTTGGCCGTTATTCTTTGTCCATTCAATTTAATTTTTAATTTATGTTTCATAATTTATTACAATTATTTTATTAAATATTTAATAATATTGTTAACAAAATGCAAACAGGCATGTAATTATAGAAAAAGTTTTAAACAGAAAAATAATAATCAATTATATTTGTAGTCTGAAAATGATAATAATTGTTGAATAATTTTTTTTAAAACTAAAAACACTTTTTTATTCAAGGGTAATATTATTTTCATAATAATTTAATTTATTTCAATTATTTTATTATAATTTAATAAATTTCATTATTTTAAAAAAGCGTTCTCTATTTTGTCATGGGCCAATCATATGATTTCAACTAAATGTAGGTTATGTTCGTTTCTGATTCATGACAGCTGCAAACATTTACAACAAATAAATGCTTTGCAAGTGTATATTTATTGCACTTAAGTAACTTATGCAAAATATATATATGTAGAACAATAATTTAAAGTGATTTTCATAAAATGAATATTGATTTAGATGCTGTGGAAAGCAAAGTTTATTTTTTCGACCATCGAGATATTTCGATACATTTTCATGTGCTTTGCATGCACTGTCTTTTTTAAGAAAGGATTATCGTTTAAAGATTTCTTATATAGAAATCATGGAGTAGTATAAGGAGACTGAACGACATACATTAAAAGTGGACCAAATTTTGGTAATCGCTTAGTGTCATGAAAATACGTAATGAAACACTAGCGCTCTCGTGGGAAGTATGTAAACAGTGGGAAAAATTAGAAGTACGTTGAACATAACCCAAAAATACATCACAGAAAATTAAAAGGCATTAAAATAAGCGTTGCAGCTTAAGGTGCTTATATACCTCAAATTTCGATCAGATGAACATTATTTCTGGACCGTGAAAATGCGTGAAAAGTCATTTTCACGGCGGGTATTTTTGAATTGTTTTAAACAAAAAATGTTTTTTTAAGAAATATAATATTAAATAATTGTTTTAATATGTAAGAACACTTTAAAATAGTGATAGAGAGATGATTTGATTAAAAAATTTAGCAAATTTTGCTTTAAAACGTTTTCTGCTACAAGAAAGTGTAAAATGACGATGTTTGTGAAATGGTTTGTACAGAGTGCTTCTTCCTTGTTAGTGTCTCTCAGAGTTTTGTTTATGTTATGTCGGTTCTTTTTAACTTGTAATAAATAATGAGTGCTGAAAATAAATCGGTAAGTTGAAATGTTTATCAAATAAATTTAAATTTAACTAATTGTTTCGAATAACTGAAAGAAACATGTACACATGTACACTGTACAAACCATTTCACAAACATCGTCATTTTACACTTTCTTGTAGCAGAAAACGTTTTAAAGCAAAATTTGCTAAATTTTTTAATCAAATCATCTCTCTATCACTATTTTAAAGTGTTCTTACATATTAAAACAATTATTTAATATTATATTTCTTAAAAAAACATTTTTTGTTTAAAACAATTCAAAAATACCCGCCGTGAAAATGACTTTTCACGCATTTTCACGGTCCAGAAATAATGTTCATCTGATCGAAATTTGAGGTATATAAGCACCTTTATTTTAATGCCTTTTAATTTTCTGTGATTGCTCCTTATTTTTAAAAATTTTACAATGGCTGACTGTCCAGCTGAGTTTAACACAATCAGTGGCGCTAGTGTTTCATTAAGTATTTTCATGACACTAGGCGGTTACCAAAATTTAGTCCACTTTTAACGCAGATTTAACATGGTCGTTCGGTCTCCTTATACTACTCCATAATAGGATTATGCGTATTTTTTTTAATTTTTTTTATAAGTACTCAAATTTTTGAGTTATGAATATTTAAAAATCTGCTTTTTTCAAGCTTTTTAAAAATAAACTTAATTTGAATGACATCTAAATCTAAAAGTATTGAATTTAACAATTAAAGGCCAAGATTGTAAAATTAAAAAAAAAGTAAAAAAAAACGTGCTCAAATTTAAAAAAAAATAATATCTTTAAAAAAATCGTTTTTTTTAAATTCTATTTTTAATAATAATTCTTTGGAAAATTACACGTGTTTCATTAACGGTACTATAGCGGGGAGTTCAGTAGGATACACAAAATACATAAATCAATTGTTTTATTCAGAATATTTACCCAGCTGGGTATAGACGAAAAATATGTAAATGAGTTAGGCAATAAATTTTTAAATATATTAATAAAATGAATTTATTTTTATCGAATTTCGTATATATAAAGAAAAGTTTGAAGAAATATTTTATTGCTAGTAAAAATATTTATTAATTTCGACAATTTAAAAAAAAAATTATTAATATACATACTTATAGAGAAAGCAAAAAACTTGTTTTATTTCAAATAATTTTTTTTTTTAATTGAAAATTTTATTCTTCAACATTTGACATAGTGATAATATTTATAAATTAAGGTAAATATTTTTTTTATAGTGTAACACCTACTTTTTTTTAAGTTTTAACAAAATTGGTAAATACCACTTCAACTTTTAATTTATTTTAAATCTTTGAAGAATTTTTGTACCATACAATCTGAAGTCCATACAAATTTTATCTGAAAGCAAAAACTTATTTCAGCAGACATTAACGTTCTAAAAACTTTATTTAAATCATAAACATTCTAAAAACGTTGAAGGAATTTTGTTTTAGAAAAAATAACTTTTTTGTATCGACTTGGATTCAGTATTCTCTAAAAGCTTATATGAACAAAATAATTCAGAAATATTTATAACATACACAGTAAATCGGTTTTCCGGATAAGTTGCCATTTCTCAAAATTTTAAAAATTTTAACATAATTTTAATTAAAATTTTTCAGTTTCACTCAATAAAAATGCAGTTCTTCATCTGTGGAATATTTCTAACGGTGCTTATTGTATTATCCACATGTAAAACTCCATTTCTCTTACACAATGAAGATCATGAGAAATGCATTGAGACGAAAAATTTTCTTCAATTGTCCGCCAATACAAACTGGTCAAAAATCAAAGCAATGATTTCAAACACCACTGACATCAAATGTCTAAATATGCAAAGTAGCAATATAGAGTACATAACGCCTTCAACATTTCAAAAATTTCCAAATTTGGAATATCTAAATCTTGCCGATAACAATCTTCAAAAGCGAAATTTGGATTTTGTATCAAGAATGACAAATTTAAAAACACTTGTACTTGACAAAGCCTACAGAATGGATAGCGTTGATGGTGATGAATTTCTCTTTAATGTCGAATCGTCAAATTTAGAATCACTTTATTTACGATATAATGGAATTAAAAAATTAATTGTTTCACATAATGTACAATTCAAAAATCTCACCAAATTAGTTCTCAGTGATAATAAAATCGAAGAGATCAGAATCATAGGAAATGGACCACCTACTAAGGCGAATTTTAATTGGTTACCTCAATCATTAAAGTATCTTAATATCGAGAACAATAAATTAAAAGAGTTAAATTTAAACAATATGATAAAACTCGTTGAATTGCAAGCGCGAAACAATGAATTTGAATCACTAATACTGGAAAATCTTCCCAATCTTCAATCACTTTTAATAAATGAAGAGTCCCTTAATCTAGTATCCATAAAAAATCTCACCAAACTCGAGGATCTTGTACTTGGTCTCAATAATCCTAATGAAATTCTACTTTCCCACATCAATGGTCTCACAGCACTTCAAAGTTTACAATTGGAATGCAAAAATGTCTCACTATTCGACGGTGAAATAATAGATCAAATGCCATCACTTCGAAGTTTATTCATTGGCGGTAGTTTACTGAATGCCATACCAAAAATAACAAATGGAACCCATTTAAATTATCTATTTCTACCCAAGAATAAAATTGAAATAATAAATCCAATTGATTTTTCAAGTATGCCAAATTTAGAGGAACTAAATCTTTCTGACAATTTAATAATGGATCTATCACCTGATACTTTTTCGATTCTAAAAAAATTACGAATTCTTAATTTAGAGAAAAATCTTCTCAAGCGTGTTTCACATTTAGCGTTCAATTCTTTTGATAATTTACAAAAATTACGACTATCTTACAATAGTATTACTTCTTTTGATGCAAAAATTGTCAATTTAAATCCATCACTTAAAGAACTTCATTTGGGAAACAATTTTTTAAAACAATTTCCCCTAATCAATAGAGCAGAGAATTTATGGTATTTGAATTTAGGAAGCAATAAGCTTAGAGTTTTGGAAAAAATTGACCTTAATTTAATGTTTCCCAATTTAGAAGTATTGATTTTATCCTTTAATAATTTGACAAGAATTGATCGTAAAGTATTTGATAATTTAAAAAATTTAAGAGGTTTACATTTACATTCAAATGAATTACAAACAATGCCAGATAATTGGTCCTTGTCATTGAAAAAACTCGAAACAGTTAGTTTAGATAGAAATAAATTTAATGATTTTGAAGCGCTTTCATTGACTGAAATAAATTTTCAAAATGTCGCCCTATCCTATTCATTGGCAAATGATCATTTTCTCTATTGTACTTTAAGAAATGGTATCAATATTTATTGTAATTTTATCAAGGAATATAAAGAGGGCGACAATATTTTTTATTTTCAAAAGAAATACATGACTTTTAAAAAAGTAGCAAATAATAAATTAATGTTAATTCCATCGGCTGAAATGTAATTATTTGATATAACTATTTGATTTTGAAATTTAGTATAAAATTGTCAATTATTTCTATACTTTGAAGGGTTTTACCATTATGTATTATTAAAACGTTATTTTCATATATTTGACTTTGAAAATTAATGCACACGCAGTATTTATAATTATGTGGGAAAAATTAATTATATGAAATATCTAGAGCACAATTTGAATTATGAATTACAAAGTTAAAACTAATGAAAAATATAATTATTTTAATGTTAAGTATTTATTTTTATTAAAATAATGTAATTTATTTTATTTAAGGTTTATGTAAAAATTGTTGCATTAATAAAATATATTAATTTATCCTGAATTTGTAGTTGTCACATTTTGTTGTTCAAGATTTTCACTAAATTGTATTGTATTTCTATTTACTTATTTACAGAGAATATAAGTTAGCTGATACTGCTAACTCTTAGCTATTTCAGCTAATTTTAATTGCTATTATATGGATAGAAATTTTATTATAGCTATTTCTACTAATTGATGTTAGCTAGATGCTGTTAGTTATGGCAGCTAAGAATTCGTCAGGTTAGCGCAATAACGTACCAATTCAGAAACAGATACAAGAAGGTGCCTATTCAGAAAAAAGGGTCAGAAACGTGCCAATTCAGAATTTGTATTTTTTATTAATTTTTAAGTTGGTAACATTGTCAATATTTAAATATTGACAGCTTTCTTAATATAAAAATTGCGTACATATAGTTTTTGAAAATTATGGTTTGTTATTTTCTACATATAAATTTCTTTGAATATGTTTTCACAAATAATTTTTTTTTAAAGTAGAAAATCATATTGTTTACTAGCTTTGATTATTATTGTACAATTTTAATTCTTTCTTAAGTTTATTATTTTTATAGTTGTAAATAGGAATTCCAGAGTTTATGACAAAACGTTAAAATTGCAGTATTTTATATATTATTATTTATAATAATGTTATAAGTTTTTAAATCAAATTGGAATCATATAAGTATCAAGTATTCAAGAGTTTGTGTAGTTCTATTTTCATGTTAAAAATTTGATAAATATTTTTAATGATTGAAATTAAAAATTTTATAAATACGACATTTTATTACAGGAAGAGGAAAACTTATTCGTAAAAAATAACATATTCAGAAATGCTAAATGTAGGGGAATAGTGTCAGGGTTGGACACAGTTTTGGTTTTTTGTTTATAAATATTTTGTTTAGATAAATTCAGTCAATTGTGGTGTATGGGTGGAAAGATCTACAAAAGAGGAACACTTTTGCTGTGGACCGTAAATTGATTGGTCCAAAATTAAAAAAGTTATAAACATTTAAAAAAAAAAATTCTAGTCAGGGTTGGACACTTTTTGAAAATCGAAACGCATTATTGGTAAAAACGTAAAATAACATTTCTATAACACCTGTCGTCAAAACCTCGACTTAAAAGTAGTTTTTTTATCATACTACGACCTAAAAGAGGGGAAATCTACTTTTAAGCACAGGTTGGTCCCCACTATCAATCTTTCTCAACAGTGCTACCAACTTGATTTCTCCTTTAGTTGCTGCGAAGTCACTAGATCGCGTCTACCACAGTTTGCGTCATTCGTGATTAGAATCTCGTTCATTCTTTATCGCCAGTTTTTTTATACATATTTTGTTCAAAAATTTATTATTCTCATTATGGAGTCGCAAGAAAATGTTGACGAAAGTGTCGGAACTCTTTTCAAATCTGCAAAGGAGCAATTAATACCGAAAAAATCGAAGCATGTGTACATAACCTCTTATGAACACTTCAAAACATGGCAAAAAGAAAAGAATTGTTTGTCAATATCCGAGGAAGTTATTATGGCGTATTTCGAAAATCTATCTGCAACAAAAGCACCGTCCACATTGTGGTCCACGTATTCAATGATTAAAAAAATGATTTGTCAAAACGAAAATGTAGACATTAGTCAATACGGAAATTTAATCGATTTATTAAAAATAAAAGCTAAAGGTTTTCAGCCAAAGAAGGCACAAGTTTTGACACCAGAAGAAATCAACAAGTTTATAAACGATGCCCCAAATTATCAATATTTGGCAACAAAGGTATTTACAAATTAATTCAACAAAATAACTAAAGTTTAATAATATTTACAAATAAGTATATTTACAAATAAATAACTAAAGTTTAATAATATATACAAATAAATATATTTACAAATAAATTATCAAGTTACAATAAATATTACATTTTTAAAAATAAAAATATAAAAATACAAATTAATAAATAATACGATAAATTAATTTAACTTAATGTGTACAAATAAATAGCTAAGTTGTATTTACAATTATATTGACAAGTTATAAAATATAAAATTTTTAAAAATATTAACAAAACATAATAAAATGAATTTATTTTATAAAAATGATATGCACAAATAAATAGTTAAGTTATATTTACAATTAAATCAATAGGTGGCTTTAATAATTGGCGTTCTTGGAGCTTGCAGAAAAGACGAATTGCACAAATTATCCATAAGTGATATTATTGATCGTGGATCCTTGTATTCAGTTACACTGCCAATAACCAAAACAAGTGTTAAGCGGAATTTTGTTATTGAAGGACTCTTCTATAATACAGTAAAAGAATATATTTCTTGTCGACCAAAAGATATTCAGTGCAGCAATTTTTTTCTAAATTGGCAGAAAGGGAAATGTACGAAGCAGGTCATAGGTGTTAATAAATTTGCTAGTATGCCACAAACGATTGCTAAATTTTTAAAGTTGCCTCAGCCAGAATTGTACACTGGACACTGTTTTCGACGATCATCAACAACAATTCTGGCTGACGCAGGTGCTGATTTAATTACATTAAAACGACATGGAGGGTGGAAGTCGAACCAAGTAGCAGAAGGGTATATTGAAGATTCGATGGAAAATAAAAGAAAAGTCGGTAATATGATTTCGAAATCCATTTTGAAAACTTCAACTTATATTAACACTGAAACTCAACCATCAAGCGAGGGAGTCAATGTCGCTGCATCAACTTCTAAACAAACTCTGTCGGTTATCAATAAAGAAATTCAAAATACTTCTAATATTATGCAATCCTCAGGCTCGGATATTCTACGTATGGTCAATTGTCAGAACGTTACTATTAACATTTTTAATGAAAATAAGAAATAAGTATTCTCCTTTATTAGTTTGTCCCTTTGAGAAGCTTTTTATGTTACAAATATTCTTATTTACTTGAAGAGAAATAATTTTTTTTTAAAATAAGTATTAAAGTAAAATAAGTATGTACAATACTTATTATATTATCATTTAAATTATACATTGAAAAAATTTAATATAAATATTTTAAAATGTTATATAAGACTGTTTTGAATCTAAATAATACGACAAATAATTATTTAAATAATACGATAGTATTTTAAATACCAAAGTCTTAGAAGAAGATAACTAATGTGATATTTTGATATTTATTAATATAATTATATAATTGTTATTTGTCAATAAAATAAAACATTTGATATAAAAATTTCTAATTTATTAATTTCATCATACATTCTAAACGATATTTTAATTTTCGATTTTTTTTTATTAAACAGTTTTTTTAATTTTTAAAATAAAGTTAATAATTTATTTAGTAATTTAATCTTATTATCTGGTTTTTTGTGGTCGGGGGGCTTCGCCCCCCCAACCCCCCGACCGGGGCGCTGCCCCTGGACCCCGTCGGGGGGAGACCCCCCGAACCCCCCCGCGGCCAAAATCTTTTGAGCGCTTGATAGTATTTCTGTGACAAGACTATACATATGTCTCGGTTTTGACACATGGTGTTATAGAAAATAGTGTGTGCAACGTGGGCGCATTCTAGGGGAATCTCGACTTGTGTGATTGGCAAACTTCACACAAGTCTCGATTCCCCTACAAATGCGCCCTTGTTGCACAAATAACTATTGTAATGTTTTTTATTCTTATTTTTTCATGTTTACCTTTACTTATTGTTTACAAATTGTAAAGCTTCATGGGTTTAAAAAGGAATGAACTCAAATTACAAAAAATAACGCTTTATTGTTCCAAATAACTCAATGAAATGATGAACAAAATTTATACAATTTAAGTATTATTTTTCTAATAACTTTGGCACAATTTTGCACTGAAATATCAATAAAATAAAATTTATTTGTATATTTATTTATAAATTGTGTCAAATTCATAATTAATATGGGTGTCCAACCCTAACTGTATAAAGTGTCCAACCCTAACTAGAAGCATCATTTTCGAATTGTGCTAACCATAACCAGACATGTGTCGCGATTCGATTTTTCACTTTTTTTCTTCTTAAATTATGTACCCCACAATACATTCAATAAGCTTACCTTGCTGAATTCTTGCTTTTTTACACATTTTTTAGGTTTATTCTCAAGTCAAACAAAACTTTTTTTGTCTCTTCGATTGCATCGAAGTCACAGGAGACGCTACTTTTGATTCTCCAAAAATGTAATGCCACAAAAAGTTAGGTTACACTCATAGAAGATTCGTCACGTACGCACACAGGTGGCGCTAGTGTTCTTATTGAAAAAAAGCCAAGTGTCCAACCCTGACACTATTCCCCTAATAAAATAAGATTCAGAAATGCAAAATGTATACCTAATAAAGTTAATTAGGGTCAACCGGGGTAAATCCGAACGCTTTTAGTAAGTTTCAACAATAACATAAGTTTTTTCTTTAAAAAAAAATACTTCCGGTATTCTGGTGGATGAAGTTGTTACTTTACTTCCATAGAACAATTTTATGGGGTAGAAAAAATTTTTGATAAATTACAATCGCAGGAAACTTAGCGTTCGTATTTACCTCGATACTTTGCAACTTTCCTAATACATGGGGGGTAAATACGAACGCCACTGTATTTCAGAAAAATCTTAGGGAAAATAAATTTAAAGTATTGCAATTGTTAAACTTATATAAAAACTGAAAAAAATGCGATAATAAACCTATTATGTAATAATGCATCATATATAAATACAAAAATCAAACAGGTTAAAAATTAAAATGCATTACACAATTAAAACCTTCAATAACTTTATCAAATCATAACGGATTTTTGCAAAACTTGGTACAGAAAGTATTTTGGAGTGATTGAATGAAAATACAAAAATAAAAGTCAAATTTTTTAAATTCAAAATGGCGTACTTTCCTAAAACTTATTTTTAAAAATGATCAAATTTGCTAACCCTGAAACCCCCCGAGTAACAATTTTCGAGGGAATCCAATGAATTTTTTAATTCTCGTCCGCCATTTTGAATTTTGAAAAACTGACTTCAAATTGGTAATTAGCGACCCCAAAAACCGTAGAATAGCAAATTTTATTAAGATCCTGAAAAACTTTTTTCAACAAACCATTTGGCAAAAAAATTGAAACACTCCTTCGAGAGAACAGAGATTAAGTTTCTGCTTATTAATTACTAACGAGGATACGTATAGAAAGAAAAACTTTTTTCTATGTACTTTTATAATGTTAAAATAATAGTGTAATCAAATAAAAACAATTTTGTGTGGCTTTGATGTAAAAAAAAATTATTAAAAATACCGTTCGGATTTACCCCAGTTTTCCAATTTTCTTGGGTAAATACGAACGGTCTGATATTATTAATAAAATTTTACAGAAGGCAAAAATCAAATATAGTTTCTGTTCTAGTATTCATAACAAACAATTATAAATAATAAAATGAATTTTTAGCTTCTTTTTCTTCAAATACGAGACAAAATACTGAAAGAGTGTCATCTTTGATTTTCAATCTTTTTTGCAATACTTGTTATCTTTGTTTATGCTGTTGCTAATTAACAAACAAAAAATGGGATAATACTTAGAATCTCTTCAAGAGGATCTGAGGTAAAAATTCTCATATCGAACTTATTTTTAAAAATTTTAATTAAGCTGAAATAATTAGCGTTCGGATTTACCCCCCGTTCGGATTTACCCCGACTGACCCTACAAAAAATGTATATTATTCTTCTCTTTTTATAAAGTTTCTAAAATTATTTATAATGTTCAATTTTGATATTAGATTTTTAAAATTAAAACAAAAATATTTGCTAATTGCATTTAAAAATTTTATTTTTATTTATTTATTATTATTCGGTATTATTAATTATTTATTTAGGATAATAATAATAATAATATATTAGCAATAACAAAATTTCAAAATACTTTTATATTACATGTAATTTAAATTTTCCCAATAATTTACATTGAAATATTTCAATTTTTCATATACATCTAATTTTTCATGAAATTTTACATCCCTAATCACGCACTACATTTAACAAAACAAAACTTTTCATCAAATGTAGCAAATATTTATTAGCTGCAATAACAAATAACTTGCTGTATCAGCTAAATACCTAGCACAACTAGCTAATTGATTTCAACTAATGCATATTTGCTGCTACAGCTAATTCATTTTTATTCGTGTTGAAGCCGCTATTATCTCAAATAATTGTACAAAGTTAAAAAAACGATTGTACTCATTATTTCTTCTTGCGCTAAAATCAAAATATGTTAAATTAATTATTACATAAGCACCACAATGGTTTATAAAATTTTTGAAATACGTTTCTAATAAATATTTTATTTAATAACTATAGTAACAATATAATCAACAATGACAAACTAGTTTTTAAATTTAATAGAAAAAAATAATCTTTGTTACTTCATGCTCCCATATATTCATGAATGCTTGTCAAACGAACGAAGCTTTTCAATATAACTATTTAAGTCAAATCAAACATGTATTCTTTTGTCAGAAAAAAAGGAGCGTTAATAACTACAACTTTATATTCATATTATTAAACAGTTTCTATAAGTCAAACAAGGTGATTGTCCACAATAAAATTTATAAGTTTATTTATTGTTAGTTACATTTTTTGAAGGGAAATCTCAGGAAAGTCTTTTAATTATTTTGATGGATTGATAAAGTATCTCAAAGACGATTCTAAATTGCATCAGGTAGTGTTCATTCTTGACGATGAAGAAAAAAATATAGACCCAATTATGTTTTCCCTTGTGACAACAGTCAATTCGCATTTTCCATCTGTGAGCATCAGCTAGAGTCAAATGAATTCTAAACTTACTGCATCACACTTTAAGTTTCTTTTTCGACCGAGAAGTACTACACTGTTTATTTTACAGTGGATGGATGAGAGTACTATGATAAATCTTGACAATTTTTTGATAAAAGATAATGATCTATTATTAAAATCATCAAAACCAAGATGTTTAGTTGTAAATTCTAATTTCTGAACTCATGATGACATCAATGGAACCTTGCATTTATTCTGGTTGAATAAATATTTAGACATTACTTTATTGACATACAATAGTGAATTCCAAGTGATTCTCAAACCAAGTTCTAAAAAATTACCTTTATTAAGTGACATAAATCCTTTTACCAACAATTTATCCTCGCAGACAATATCATCAGAAAGTCAATGGTTTCCCAATAAACTGAAAAATCTAAATGGATACAAACACAGAAAATTAAAAGGCATTAAAATAAGCTGCAACGCTTATTATTTTAATCCAATTTTGCTTATTTTAATACCAAAATGAATTAAAATAAGCAAAATTGGATTAAAATAATAAGCGTTGCAGCTTATTTTAATGCCTTTTAATTTTCTGTGAATTAAATTTCGTGTTTTTTAATTCTACTTCATCAGTACAAAAATTATTAGGCTTTAAAAGATTTATAGAAATTTTCTCAGAATCGATGAATTTTGAACCTGTCACATACATATTTCGAAATACTAATTCTAGGCGTAACTTTAAAAATGTCGATAGTAAATTAAAAAAAATTGAAAATATAAAAAGAAAAATACTAAAGGAAATAGATCCGGAGTTTTCGCTAAACTTCCTAATATTATATAATGTATCTACATTTAATGTAAATATGCGAATACTAAACATTAGAAAAATGAAAGCTATTATTCCAAAGGGGGTAAAAGTCACTAAAGACATTCAAGTTTCACATGAATTCTGGTACATATGATCTTGATCACAATTGGTGCAATTGTTGTTATCCGTTTCACGGCCTTTTTGATGAAATTCAGAAACAGCACATGGCAAACTTTCAATATCAGTCAAATTTTAATGGGAATGCCTACTACTCAGGAACCAGTGAAATGGCTGGAAAGGATAATTTTTGGCTCACTACTGATTACATGCATCGTCTATACAAGTTATATTTACACTATAATTCTGGACATTAACTTTGTATCAGCTACTGAAATTTTATCTCTTGAGGAACTTGTTAAATCTCATTTGACGCCAGTGATGGAGGATTCTGTGTACCGTAATATAAGAAATAGTTCAATTTCTAATATTCGTCAATTGGCAGAAAAATCCATTCAAACGATGTCATTTAGAGGAATCATTCCATGTTTGGTAAACTTAGTTATGTATAAAAATGTCAGCTGTATTTTTCATCTTTCTGATAATTTTATTAAAAATTTTGAAGAAAGTTACTAAAAATTAAATGTTACAGTATTGCAAGAAGTTATTCAATATTATTTTATATATACTTTACCGTCAAAGGCTTGGTCACCCTATTATGATCGTTTCAATGAATTAATTCTGAAAGCTTCAGAGTTTGTATTACTTACAGAATTTCCTGAAATTACAACAGCGTACAACAGTTTTTCAAAACCAGAAATAATTTCCAAAGAAAAACTTTTTCTTGTACTATTTTCTGTATTAGGCATTGGATACTCTCTTTCGATTATTGTTTTTATTCTTGAAGTAATTACAGTAAAATTAAAAAGAAGATATTTGCAAAAGGCGATATTTCGATTTGTAAATTAGAGAAACCTCATTATTAAGGATGCAAAAATATAGATTTTATTTTAAGTTTATGTAAAATTGCATTAATAAAATATATTAATTATATAGTCTTGAATTTTTAGTAGTTACATTTGTCGTACAAAATTTTCACTAAATTGTGTTGTATTTCTATTTATTTGTTGAAGCATTTCTTAGGAAAGTCCTTCCTACTGAGGAAAATTTTGACATTCGAGCAAAAAGAAATGTGTTTTTCATAGTTTTAAGGATTCTTTGCTGTGTCTATTTGGTAGAAAGTAAAATTTTGTATTAATTAGTTTTAATTAATTTTTTTCTTTCTTCTTCGTTAAATTAAAATTACATATTTCTTTTTAATTAACAGATATTAAATTAATAGAATATGCAATTTTATTGAAATAAAAATAGAAATTGTACATTATTTTAAATCTGTTTTCATTGTATTGAGTGAAGTAATGAATTCATCCATTTACCAAGGGTCACTGACTGCTTCATTTGTAGAATAATATAAAGGCAAAGGCGACTAATAAAACTGTCTCTATAATTCAATTTCTTTTTTTTTGCGTTTAATTTCCATACACATATACATGTATATATTTATATATAGAAAGATATTTTACATTTAAGTTATAATTTCTGGTGAAAAATGTCCTTCTATCATTTATTCGAACCTGAATGACCTATAATTCGTCACTTATCCGATTAAAGTAAATCGGCAGATGTTGAAATTAGACTTACTCACACATGATTCACTAAACATGATTAAAGGGCTGAAGGTTTAAAAGCCTCTTGTTGCAGCTCCTTGTGCAACACACATTATTGTGACTCCAAACATTCAACATCTCAAATATTGAATAAAGAAATTCTAATAATTTTTCTTTTCTTTTACTAAAAAAAAAAATATCTCATTTTTCTTCATAAATAAAAAATTTTCCAACCAAATTACGCGTAAAAGTGTCGAGTGATTAAACGAAAGAGACAAGGTAATTTTTAAGTTTATTAAGATATTTTGGAAAAATAAAAATTATTTCTATTTATACTGTGTGATTTTTATGTTCCGGAGTCCCTAAAAAATTTTTTTTAAATCCACTTTTAAAAAAAATGAGATTAAAAAAAAATTTTTTTGGGGGTCCGGAACATAAAATTACCCTTATATGTATATTTAGAGCTCCTATCATATAAATAGCAATGAACTCTCGATAAACATAATTTACATTTGTTCAAAGTTTTCTTATTTGTATATAACATAATTTGTAAATAATATAAAATATAAATACAATAGATAACGTACATTATATATTTTATAAATATTGATATAAATAAAATAAATACAAATACAGATCTGACCGATAATAATCATTTGGCGTACAGTATACATATATATCAAATATTGATAAACATAATCGTTTGTTTAATCAGTGTGAAACGATATAAATAATGATACAAATTAAAATTAATGAATATAAAATTATCTATTATTTGCTATTCAAAATCGACATTGACCTCTTCTTTTACTATTATAAAAATAATATTAAGCAAATGATACAAAAAATGTACAAAATTTTTTTTTTTACATTTGTATTGCATTTAAAGATATATTTGGTTTCTTATTTTCGAAATTTTTTGTCTCGAAATAGTTTTGAATTTGTTTTATTTGAAAATAAATAATAAAAATGTTAATTTCGAAAAAAAATTCATTATTATTTTAACTGTTTAAAACAGCAGGAAAAATTACGACATTCATATGCAAAAAAAATTTTATGAAATGCAGTAAAGTTAAATATATTCGATGAATATTGTTATTAAAATTTATTTTATTTAAGGGTATGTGGGAACCTCCCACGTGACCTAGTATGGGAAAATGTGTTTTGGTAGTATACCCTGGCGGAATAAAATCACTCAACGTCCACTTTGTAAAGTAGACATTGAGTGGACATTGGGTAGAAACTTGGTAATTCGCAAAAATAAATGTTAAAAAATGACAAAATATGAAAAAATTTGATTTGCAAAAGGTAAATAAATATCCAGAGACTCAATTCTAGTAATAATTGCGTTAAATAAAGCATTAAATATTAAAAAATTAATATAAATTGTGCAAAGTAACTTGTCGCATGTTTACATTCTATTGGTTTTTTTAATATTTCCAATAAATTAATATAAAATGACGTATAACTTTACACATAATTTTAAAAAATGGTTAAATTCATCAAATTGATGTATTTTTGAGGTTAATTAATTAATAATATTAAAAATTATATTTAATCTCAATAGTGTTGTGAAATACTATAGAAATTGTATTACCGACCACATGTGATAATAAAAAGTTCGATTTCACGGTAAGTAAAGTTATAGTTATGCATAAATACTTAGATGTCACTATAGTCACCTTGAATATGCTTCTGCTGGAATATAGATTTTGAATTGAATATGACATGATGATCGTTATTTTAAGTTGATGCCAGGACGCGACTATATATTATAAATGGGGTAAAATTCCTGTAGCGAACTAAGTGAAAAAAAAGTTGATCGGATCCGGCTGTAATTTGCACATAGTTTAACCCTAGGAATGAGTAATTTAACCACGCATTTATGCATAACTATAACTTTACTTACCGTGAAAGGGAAATTTTTATTATCACATGTGGTCGGTAATTCAGTTTCCATAGTATTTCACAACACTATTGAAATTAAATATAATTTTTATTATTATTAATTAATTAACCTCAAAAATACATCAATTTGATGAATTTAACAATTTTTTTAAATTATGTGTAAAGTTATACGTCATTTTATATTAATTTATTGGAAATATTAAAAAAACCAATAGAATGTAAACATGCGACAAGTTACTTTGCACAATTTATATTAATTTTTTAATATTTAATGCTTTATTTAACGCAATTATTACTAGAATTGAGTCTCTGGATATTTATTTACCTTTTGCAACTCAAATTTTTTCATATTTTGTCATTTTAACATTTATTTTTGCGAATTACCAAGTTTCTACCCAATGTCCACTCAATGTTTACTTTACAAAGTGGACGTTGAGTGATTTTATTCCGCCAGGGTATACTACTCTAAAATGAAAAAAAGATTTTTGTCTAAAATTTTAAGGGATAATAGATTTGGGTTCAAGGAATCTCGTAGTTCTCCGAAAAATACATAATTTTGTGTCAAATTATTAAAAAATGAAGTTTAAAAAGTGGCATTTTTAAACTATAATGAAAACAAAGATGGCGGCGCATACACAGACGTTGCTTGAGTGTGTCAGTGCTCCAGTAAACAGCGCCAATTCGAGCGAGTGGCCGCTGAATGAAATTAACCCGAAATAATTTTTTATTTCAGAGATAGTTTCAAACCACAAAAAACGTCCTTTGCCCACATACCCTTAAGTGAAGAAAAATTTACGAAAGAAAAAATACGTAGTTTTGAAATTTTTCAAGTTATCCCGAAATTCCAACCTCCATCTCTCCTCGCGGGAAATAACTTTTTCACGCTCTCCTCATTTATTTTTAATATTTTCTTTTATTTTATAAAAAAAATTTGTTCTAATAATCAAATATTTAATTTTTAGGTTAAGTTTGCGAAACTGAATTCGTTACACTTATTTTCTAAGGGTTTTATATATTTCTCATTTTTGAAGTAGCTGCACTAGTTCTTCATTCAACATTTTTGAATAATAATTAATATTTACTTACTGCATTTAACAAAACTTTTCCACGGTTAACTGTCCATATCTTTTGACGCAAAGTAAAACTGGCGTCACTCCGCAATGCTGGCCGGCTACGGGGTTTACACACACGGACTTTCTAATCCTTAACTGTCTAATACTTTTTTATTTTAAATATTATTATTAATTAATACTAATAATAAATTAATATTACTTTTTTCTTCATAGGATTATAAAAAAAATGACGGTTTTAACATTCGTACTGTCATTTATTTGTCTGATGAGTGTACTTTCAAATGGTTCAACATTACCGGCAAATAAAGAAGCAAAAAAAAATTTCGAATCAGAAGAATATACAAGAGGCTCAGAAGAGGATAGTAAAATTGAAATGGATTCATTGGAAGATAAAAAATTATTAAAATCACAAGAAACAGATAAAATAAGTCGATCAAAGCGTTGGTTGGTCCAATCGACATCGACGACAAGTCAAAATCCAGAATTTGTTTATAAACCATGGCTTTTTGCTGTTTAATTTTTGTCACAATGACGCAAATGGAAAAAAATATATTGTTTTACATAAATGTAAATGATTTGTTATACTTTAAATTTAAAAAAAAAATATTTAACTTTCCAAAGAAAAATTAATTTTTTTTTATGTATTTCATCTTATTTATCATATACTAAAACTCTAATTATATAATCATTTCTTTCAGAATTTTGTCAGTTTTTATAGGAAATATTTTAAAAGGAACAAAATTTAATTTTTATATTTTTTTAATTTTAAAGTTGTTTTACAATCATAAAGAAAAATATCGAAGGCTATATAATTTCTATATCTGTAGTGTATATATGATAAAATAATTTATTTGTCATATTTCATAATTTCATGCACGTTCTGTAAAAAAATATTGAACGTAATATTATATATTAATTTTTTAAATGCGAAAAAATATTTTTTTAAATTTAGAGAAAACTTTCATTATAATAAGATATAAAATATTTATTGTGCCATCTCAACAAAAATTGAGAGGTTGATTTTAATAAATACATAATAATTTACAAAAGAATAAATTACATTTCTTCAAGCAATTCCTGTATTTCTTCTAAAGTCTTTCCTTTAGTTTCAGGCATAATAATATAATTAGACAATGTAATAATCAAAGTGACTATTCCATATAACCAAAAAACACCGTATATTTTAAAAACACTAACTAAATATCCAAAGCTCAATTGAAGAAAGAAATCTACAATTGACCATAATATATTATTAATAGAAGAAGCTGAACTTTTGATTTCAATTGATAAAAGTTCCGCTACTTGAATTTGACTAAGACTAAGTAAACCAGAACTACTGCCAACTATATAAATTAATAATGCAACAAATGGAATCCAATAAATTGATGACAATTGACCGTTAAAATAATATTTATAAAAAAAGAAACCACCAATTGTAAATGAACTTAATCCAACCAAAATTCCATACAAAAAAGTTAAAATTCTTCTACCCAATAAATCAGGAATTGGTGATATTATAATTGAGGAAATTAATACTATTATCATTATTAAAACTGTCGCTTGCTCAGGTTTTAATGGAGTGTCAATATATCCAATAATTGTTTGAGCATGTCCTGCAATTACTGTTGATCCAGAAAAAGCAAAACTTAAAGTACCAAGAGTACAGATTAGTAGAGCTTTTCTATTACTTCTCACACTAAATAATTTCATGAGTAAAATTTTTTTTGAATTATTCGTTTTTATTATTCCTTTTTTCATTGATTCGATTTCTAATTCCAATAATTTTGTATCACGTGTTCCACGTAATTTCACTAGACTTTGAAATGCATCTTCTTCTCTATTAATTTTAATATAAAAATATGGTGATTCGGGCATAAATGAAAATGTCACAACAAAAATCAATGATATTAATAACAATATTAAATTCATATTGTCATAGGTAACAAAAGCTCCAAGTATAACAACAATAAGTGATCCTAGAACGTATGCAATTTTTCCAATGACAATTAAAAAACCGCGAATATTTTTTTCTGCAATTTCACCCACATAAATAATATCGACAACATAACTTGCACTATATCCAATTCCAGAGAGAATTCTTGCAGCATAAAGATGATATACATTTGATGCATAATAAATTGTGAGCCAAGAAAAAATTTGTGGTATGGCAAATAAAAGCATTGTGTACTTTCGTCCTATTCTATTGAAAAATAAAGGATAAAGAAGAAATCCAATAAGAGCACCAAAAGTAGCTAAAGATACAACCCAAGATGCTTCGTTTGAATTTATTATAAATTTTGAATTTGATGATGTTAAATGAGGTATTGCTGGTGATGACCAGTGAATTACTGTTCCAAATCCTAGTCGTATGAGACAAGCTAAAAATGTTATATTATTATATTATCGAATTGAAAAGAAAAATAGTCGAAAATAATTAATTTCTATAATTTTAATAATAATTTTAACGCACTCTGAAGAAAGGGACCTAAGAAGCAAACGAATTATAGATTATATTTCGCACCTTGAAAAGTCGTGACACTTTTATAATAATAATAATTTATAATTATTCACACAAATATAATATTTAAAAAATAGACATAGCATACACTTAACATTTGTCAGATTTGATTCTGTTAAAAGTTACGCAGGGGTGTCCACAAATGAACCTCTTTAACCTAACACTTGCTTTGACAACACTGTGACATAACCTCTAGATTTTTGGCTCACACTTTCCAATATATAGGAAACATTAAAGTTCAATCTCCATATTATTATTATGGTTGGTTGGTTTTGGTAACAATTATAAAAATTATGAAAATGTCACAAGTTTTTTAAAATAGTCTCAAACCGAAAGGACAGCATTTATAATATTAGGTGTATAATTTTTTGCTCTTCTTCAATTTTTTTTCCCCCTTTCTTCATTGCGAGTTACAATTAATTTTAATAAATATATTTACAACTTATTGCTGCAGGTAATTGTAGAGAACATTTTCTTTTATTTGAATAATTTTGTAGATTATTCGTTGTCATAACTTTATGCATTATTTAAAAAACAATAGTTTTATTTTTTTGCAATATCCGCTTGCATGACAATATCTCATTATTGGCTATATAGGTTACAGATTACTGAATAAGTTTTTGTAAATTAATTATATTTTATGATAAGGTATATTGAAAAACAAACAAATAAAACATAAGGAAAAACGTGAATATAATATAACAAAGTATTATACAATTACTTATTAGTATATTTCTATTTTAAAATTATATATCTGGGACATTCCACGTCAACACGGACAGAGCTCTAAACAAAAATGGTTTTGAAGGATTTAAACGTTCTAGGGCTTAAAAGATTTCTACATTCATGTACTTTAAGATGCCGATGGGCGTTTTTAAAAAAAATTCATTTTTGACGCCAATAGAGCTGTCAAAAGTCAAAAAGTCTAGAAATTTTAAAATACTTTTACGAATTAAAAGCTAAAAACGAGGTTTATAATTCTGAAACTCATTCTTTAACAGTTTTGAGGGTCACTGATTATAAATTTAAAGTTTGTTTCAAAAATTCAAAATGGCGGATCCAATATGTCGGACAAAAGCTGAAAAAAGCAGAAAGAATGGTTTTTTTTGCGGATAACATATTATTCGATAGTTTTTAAGGTTGCTGATGAAGAATCTGAAGTTATTTTTAAAAATTTCAAAATGGCGGATCCAAAATGGCGGACAAAAATGTTTAAAAACATTCAAAAATTCGTTTTTTTTGCTTGAAACTTTCCATATGAATGTTTTTGATGTCTCTCATGACGAATCTAAAATTATACTTTAAAAATTCAAAATGGCGGACAAATTTTTTTTAAAAAAGTTCAAAAATTCGTTTTTTTGCTTGTAGCTTTTTATATGAAGGTTTTTGAGGTCGTTCATGACGAATCTAAAGTTATTCTCTAGAAATTAAAAATGGCGGATATGTCATGTTCAATTTGAAGGCGCTAAAAACTGCAAATTGTGTATCAGAAACTTGATAAAGCTCTTTAAACTTGTAATGAACAATTTATTGGCCCTGAAAAAGGCCGATTGTATGTTGAAGTTTTTAGAAAAATTTTAAAACTTTTAATAGATAATTTGGTGGCCCTAAAAAGGGCCTTTTGTACGTTGATAAGGTTTGATAAAAAATAAAAACCTTTTTGATAAAAATTTACAATGTTTGTAAACATTATAGCACTCAAGTATTACAATACTTTCAAAGTTTTATTTGGCTCAACTATAAAGCCATGACTACTTTGATTATTTTTAACTGCAGGAATAACAAAATAATAAATAAAAATAAAATAAATCCATATAATAAATAAAAAATTTTAATTTCTTATAATTTATCAGCAACCTCAAAAACCTTCATATAGAAAGTTTCCAGCAAAAAAACGAATTTTTGAACTTTATTAAAAATTTTTTTTTGCAATTTGGATCCGCCATTTTGAATTTCTAAAGTATAATTTTAGATTCGTCATAAGCGACCTCCAAAACATTCATATAGAAAGTTTCCATCAAAAACACGAATTTTTGAACTTTTTAAAAAAAATTTGTCCGCCATTTTGAATTTTTAAAGTATAATTTTAGATTCGTCATGAGAGACCTCGAAAACATTCATATGAAAAGTTTCAAGCAAAAAAAACGAATTTTTGAATGTTTTTAAACATTTTTGTCCGCCATTTTGAAATTTTAAAAAATAACTTCAGATTCTTCATCAGCAACCTTAAAAACTATCGAATAATATGTTATCCGCAAAAAAACCCATTCTTTCTGCTTTTTTCAGCTTTTGTCCGACATATTGGATCCGCCATTTTGAATTTTTGAAACAAACTTTAAATTTATAATCAGTGACCCTCAAAACTGTTAAAGAATGAGTTTCAGAATTATAAACCTCGTTTTTAGCTTTTAATTCGTAAAAGTATTTTAAAATTTCTAGACTTTTTGACTTTTGACAGCTCTATTGGCGTCAAAAATGAATTTTTTTTAAAAACGCCCATCGGCAACTTAAAGTATTATTATTGTAAAAAAAAAATTTTTTTTTAAATATTAAATATTTAAATATTTACGTCAATTTACATTTATGACAAGAGTTACAAAAACCAGTAATACTTAACTTAAGTGTAGCCTACGAAATTTCTAAGCGCTATATTTTTTCTTATCAATCAAATTTGTGGACTTGAGATTGAACAGGACTATTAAGAGGCGCATGAATTTTCTTTAAATTTCAAATGGCCTAAAACTTAATTGACCTAAAAGTCGTATGAACTAATTATTATTTGGCCTAATCTGTATATGACCTAATTATTATTTATCCTAATCTTTATTCAATCTAATCCTCATTTGTACTAATCGTCATTTGTCCTAATTCTCATTTGGCATAATCTTAATTTAAACTAATTCTTATTTAACGTAATATTTATCTGCCCTAAATCACATCTGACCTAAATTTTCTGTAACTAATACTTCTTTAGTCTCATTTTTATTTGACTTAATTATTACTTAGCCTAAACATCATTTGCCATAATTATCATTCGAAATAATTTTCATTTGGCCTATTTACTATTATTATTTGGACTAAACGCCCCTTAAACTAATTTTTGTTTGATCTAATCTTTATAAAACCTAATTCTCATTTGGCCTAATCATACTAATCATACAAATTGTTATTTGTTCTAATATTTATCTGACCTAATTCTCAATTGGCCTAATTTTACTTTATCCTAATTGTTACTTGTTCTAATATTAATCTAACATAATTCTTAATTTGCCTAATCTTCATGTAACCTAATTCTCTTTTGTCCTAATCCTAATTTGATCTAATTCTCACTTTGCAAATAATTTCGCATGAAGTTTTTCGGAATTGATAGTATAACAAGTAATAAATTGTTTATTTGTTTAAAGACATAACGTCTATACAAAGAAGTTGCGAATATAAATTTACAAAAACAAATTAAAATTTATAAAAACATTTAAAACCGAGGAGTTACAAAAATTTACGTGATTATATATAAAATTAAAATTTGCAAAATTCACACGAAGTTTTCCCTTTAAGTTACAATAGACTCAACAAATTGGTACAAATTTTTAATCCAATCTGTGGATTGTTAAAAATTGCAAATACTGCCGCCGATTTTGTGGATTCATTCTCCGCATCACAAATGAATTTTTCCCTTTCTTCATTGTGATGTCTACACTCAACCAAAACATGATAACCAAATTTGCCATTAATGAGAAGACCACAACCACCGCATATTCCCTTACATCTCCAATTATACATTTTATTATTTATTCTCACTTTCGACTGAAATTTGTTAAGAAGCCGCATTTGGGCAATTATACTAAAGTATTTTATTGATAGACAAAATTTAAGATACTGTTGGATATTCTCGTTTACTGAGAGATATGAGAGAAGCTGCAATGATCGGGATACACTTAGTCGAGACATATCTTCCTTGTACAAAAAACACTCATAATCAGATACCCAGCGGATTTTATTTAACTTCAATGAAGTCAAAGTAAGATTTTCCCATTCAAAAGATTTATTTATTGATTTAAAAATTTCCCCTATCTGCGCACACCAGTTATATTTAGGCGAAACATTGTTGTTTTCTGACAGTGTCTTTAACTTTATAAAAGACTTTTGAGGATAACGGTCACTGTCCAAAGTAAGTGTCTTTTCAATAAAATTGAGAGCTAACTTGAAACAAATTGCAATAAGATTGCGGTTTCCTGTTTCCAATCTTACTGCGTATCTAGGTGTGTTAAATGGTAATTGTAATAATCTTTTATAAAATTGAATCTGAAATTTCTCAATTTCATTTCCGTATCTTAAACTCCAGATTTGTACGTTATACATCAAGACACTCAAGGACATACTCTTGAATAAACGCTCAATCGAGGACCAGGAATCCAGCTTCACTTTTTAATTACACAGAGAAACTTTGTGTATCACTTTTTGTTAAACTCATATGTATTTTTAGTAAATTGACTACTAAAGTGGGGAAAAAACGGGAAAAAGACGAAATTTCTTATTTAATAGAAGTCTCTTTAACAATATATGACTTCTTTTTTCAATATTTAGTAGTCAAGTTAAGAAAAATTTGACGTGGACAGTGTCGTAACTAAAAAGGGTTAGATGAAGCCCCGACTTAATCGCAACAATTATTAATTAACTTTTAATTGAATCATAAGTAATATTAATGAGGCTTTACTTTAGGTTATTTTTCTTTTTCTGTGTTTAAAATTTCAGAATCCGGTTAGATTATAGGGTAACTGCACCAGTGGTGGATCAATTAAGCCTACTAAATTTATTATTTTGACTTTACAGGTGTACAGATTTTTTCAGATGAAAAATATAGGGTAATCTTTACAATAGTATGAATTAACAAGTCTTCAAGGACACTATCGTGTAGTTTTCGACCTGCTTGTAACGTTTACACCCCCTCACACCCCCATTCAACAATAAAATGACATTGCTCCAGTCGTGGATCATTTACCCCTTTACACTACACAAAAATAACTTAATGATGTAAATTTTTTTCCAGAAGTATTCTATATGGAAAGAATTGATTACTTTCTACTCTAAAAATTAAAAAAATTTAGACTAAACAATTATTTTTTAAGATTTCATGTGAAAAAGCATAAAATCAATAATTGTTGTATTGCTTTGTTTTCCTAAATATTTTCAAATGATTTTATTTCATAAAACTTATCTATACACCTCCCCTAAACGATTGAAACATTTAGTTCAATTAGAAATAGCTTATTTTAACCTTTTTAACGCTGTTGATCCACCATTGGTGCCTGATCCACCACTGGTGCATTTACCCTACATCGAAAATACTGTTTTTATGAAGTTAGGGGCGCTTAAAACATACAGTACCTACTCTCCTGAGCACATGTGAGCTTGTCTATGAAACCCCCCCAAAAAATATATCATGTCATGTACATCTCTTATCCAAAGATATAATTCTTTTAATTATTGAGAATCGGTTTCAAATGAACACTATTTTTGTTTTTTCTTTTTTTGTAAAGTTGAAGTGTATTTGTGATACTTCGTGTCACTAAAAGTGAGGTTAGGTGCGATACAATACTAAAGGCACTCTCACACCTTTTTGGCTGCCTGCAGGTTACCATGGCAATGCATGAGAGTAAGTGCGACAGAAGATTTAAAATTTTGAATATTCAAATTTTCTGTCTCACTCACACTCGTGTGTTGCCATGGTAACCTGCAGACAGGCAGGCAGCAAAAAAGGTGTGAGAGTGCCTTTATACGACAAAGTTATTAATCAAAACAAGACAGCGGAAACACCAAGGCGAAGGAACAAGTTCTCATCAGATCACGCAAGTTAAGCAACGTTGGACGCGGTTAGTACTTGGATGGGTGACTGCTTGAATTGACATTCGGCGATATGTTTTTTCGTGAAATTTAATTTTCGATCAAATGCCGCAAATTTTAGTAGTCAGACTAAGAAAAATTCATATCGTTGCAGTTTTTCCCCACTTTAGTAGTCAATTTACTAAAAATACATAGTGAGTTTAAGAAAAAGTAATACTCAAAGTTTCTTCGTGTAAGGAAATTGTTTTAAATTGCGCAAGATTAGCCTAATCATATAATTTTACTTTATCCTAATTGTTACTTGTTCTAATATTAATCTAACATAATTCTTAATTTGCCTAATCATAATGTAAACTAATTCTCTTTTGACCTTATCCTAATTTGATCTAATTCTCAGTTTGCAAATAATTTCGCATGGAGTTTTTCGGAATTAATAGTATGACAAGTAAATAATACAGCTGAGAGAAGAAAGATAATTAATATACGGGTGATTCATAAAGTGATCGACAAACTGAAGGAGTGTAAACTAGACGAAATTCTAAGATAGCCTATTTTATTTTCGAAAAAGCGTATTTTGAATAAGTGAGAATTAAAAATGTTGTGAAATGGGGATGAATTTGAAGAACTTGAACGCCATTTAACGAATGAAGCCAACTTCTCTCTAATTGTAAAACAAATGAAATCAACGCAAAACAAAAAGTTGCTTTCAGCCAATTAGAAATGAGTTTTAGAAAAAAATGACTAGATTAATGTCAATTTTTAATTTAAAAAATGTAAAAAAAAGTATTAAAAATATTTTTTTTAATAATTGCGAAGTAAGATATAAATTAGAAACAGTTAGCTAAACTATTCATCATAAGTGTAAGTAAATCAATAAATAAACTATTAAAATAACAACTTTTATTTCTTGATATTTCAAAAAGAATTTTTAAAGACTTCTTTGAGGATACAAATTAGGACGAGTTTTACGAATACTTGGTTGTTTTTGAGGAATACTTCGAAGGTCGAATGTAGGACGAATTTGAGGATCATATTTAGGATGAGTTTGCTGAGTTCTTTGAGGATCATATGTAGGACTAGTTTGAGTATTTCTTTGAGGATCAAATTTAGGACGTGTTTGAGGACTTATTTGAGGATCATATTTAGGACGAGTTTGAGTACTCCTTTGAGGATCAAATTTAAGACGAGTTTAATTTAATTTTAATTTCGGTATATTAAATTACTTACTTTTAAGATGAACAATTTGACAATTTTGAAATATTGAATAATGTTTCCCACTTAATTTATTAATGTTCTTAATACTTTGTTCACATCTTTTAAATTAAAAATTGACATTAACCTAGTCATTTTTTTCTAAACCTCATTTCTAATTGGCTGAAAGCAACTTTTTGTTTTGCGTTGATATCATATTTGTTTTACATTTAGAAAGAAGTTGGCTCCATTCGTTAAATGGCGTTCAAGTACTTCAAATTCATCCCTATTTCACAACATTTTTTATTCTCACTTATTCAAAATAAGCTTTTTCAAAAAAAAATTAAAAATAGGCTATCTTAGAACTTCATCTAGTTTACGCTCCTTCAGTTTGTCAATCACTTTATGAATCACGTACAATAAAATCACTTACTTTTTCAATTTATTTATAATTGATGAATATCGTTGAAAACTCGTTTAAATCAGAACCTTGAAACCTTGATATAAATTTGAATGATATCTTGAACTGGACCTTCAACTTAAATTGGTTCAAGTACTGGATGTTGAAGATAGAACTTGGATAAATTTGAATATCATAAAAAGAATTTAAATAACTGACTAAGAACTGAAGAAAAATTTAGAATTTGAATGACTTTGAATTAGAAGAAAGAAGTTGGAATTAAAACTCCAATAAGAAATGGATATAAATTTTTTTTTTAATTTGGGTGCAAATTTGGGGATGAACGATAAGAAATTTGCAAATAAAAATTAAGAAGAAAAAGAAAATAACGAGAAAAATATAATGAAATAACGCAGAACTTTACACTCCTTTAAGCGTACAGAGATTATGAGTATGAATTGAGTTGAATATCTGATTTCTATAAAAGTAGAACTATTTTGCTTATTTGGTGCTCAGAAATAATTTACAAAAAGGTCTATCACCTGTGTGGGATGTTTGAAATAACTTATGGTATGAGGAAGCAAAAATTACACATGTAAATGAATGCACGTACATTTTCATTTTTTGTAAATTACTAAATATATGTATACAATAAAATGAGACATATACATAGAAACTTGTGGTTCTTTAACAAATTTTAGACATCGTCATTACTAGAAAACTTCTTCTATGATTAAGCAAAAATTATACAAGTAAATTAATGTACATAAAATGTTTATCTTGAAATAACAAATCAGTTTCTATTCTCGCACGTCTAAAAATTATTTCATTTTATCACAGAGAATACCATTTTTTAAAGTGATTATTGTGTTTCTAATTGTTTTTTTGTATTATAATTTCTTTAACTTTGTGAAATTTATCAGTTTCAACGTTTTGTTATAAATCTCTGCAAATTAAAATTAGATTAAAAATATTTTTTCAATCAGTTTCTTTCTATTCATTTTTGTTTTGAATATGTCAAAGGAAAAATTTATTTTGAGTGGACCAGTTTTAAAAAAGAAATGGAATTACGAATCAGTAGGTGAATATTTTTTTCAAAAATTTACTGAAAATGGAGAAAGCACCGCACTGGTAAAGTTATTACTATACGATTTTAATTTTTTGTCTTTTTATTAATAATTAATATTAATGTAATTTATAAATTAATTAAAATCCACTTTTCAGGTAGATGTTGAGACAGGAGAAGAATTATCACACAGAAAACTATTTGAAAAAAGTCTTAAATTATCAATGATTCTCGAGAAAATGGAATTAAATGTAAATGATAAAATTGGCATTTGCAGTGAGAATAATATAAATGTTGCAATTACAATTTTTGCTAGCATTTTTAAAGGCACTACTATTTGTCCATATAATCCTCTTTACACTGAACAAGAATTAATTCACGTTTTAAATATTTCCATGCCTAAATTTATTTTTATCTCAAAATCTGTTTGTGGGAAAATGGAGAAATTAGTGAAAAAATTATCATGGACAGTGAAACTAATTCTACTTAATGAAGATGATAATTCAAAAATTCCAAATCTTTCAAATTTAATTGCAAACATTTCAAATGATGAATTATCGAAATTTCAATTGCCAAAAATTGAGAAAAATGAACACATTTCAATAATTGCCTCTTCTAGTGGTACAACTGGACTCTCAAAGGGTGTTATGTTGATGGATAAAAATATTTTATTAATGATTCAAACTCAAACTGAATGTTTAGAGCCTGTAATGAAAAATAAAATGATTGTATCAGGCTTTATGCCGTTATTTCATATTTATGCTCTAGACATTCTTTTATTTACAGTTGCGTGCAATTCAAAAATGATTATTTTTCCAAAATTTGAAGAACGTTCCTTTCTACAGGCAGTTGAAAAATATAAAATTCAAATTGTCTGCTTAGTTCCAACGATACTCATCATTTTCTCAACAAGTTCAATAATTCATGAATATGATTTGTCCTCCGTTAAACGAATAGTGTTAGTTTTCTTTTTTTTTTTTAATTATTTATTATTTAACAATCAAATTATTATTTATTGGCGATTTCACTTATCTTATTTGATTCCCTTGATCTTTTCCCTCCCTCTTTTTCTAGTTTTGTAAAAATTATTAGTTTCACTTTTTTTAGAACTGCAGCGGCGCCACTGCCTCCTAAAATAGGAGAAACAGCAAAGAAACATTTTCCGAATTCGGAGCTTTATATTTGCTATGGAATGACGGAAACTTGTTTTGCAACGACATTTGCATTAGCAGAAAACGATTTAAAAAGCGTTGGTGTCCTACAACCGGGCTATCAGGGTAACATTAAATTATTGTTATTTCCGAATAATATTATCTAAATATTTTGTTGAAAGATTTTAAATACGTGCCCAATTTAAAACAAATTGAGTTTTAAATATTTAAAAATAGTATTTTATGAGGAACCAGAATTTATTTAATGTATACTTATATGCGTGTAAATAATAGATGTTTTAGATTTGGGTTCATATAAATTTATTAACAATGAAGTTATTTTCTTTTTTCGTTTTTATATTTATGCATTAAGAGTGTCGAACGGTAACTGAAATTCTTTGGCAAGAAGAGAGCTTTAATTATCGCTCTGAACGTGAAATAGTATTAATTTTAAAATACTTTTTTCTCGAAACACGAACACTTTTAACAAAATCAGCCAAAATCCTCATCTTATAAATTTCCTAAATCCAAAAGACTGTACGAATCCTTAGAAAAACATGGTTGCAAAACAAAAAGTAGAAAAGTAATCTAATAACAGCTGCGACTTTGTGCGCCCTGCATGCTGCTGCCATCTGACGGCGGCAGGAGGTAATGAACCCCTCATTATATTACTTTTCGTTTTGCAATCGTGTTTTTGTATGAATTCGTATAATCTTTAGGATTTAGGAAATTTAGTCAAAAAGAATTTTTAAGTGCCAATTCATTTTTATTTAAACCACCTTCTGACGTATTTTTATACAATATAAAATTCCATTCCCCATGTGGCCACAATACAAACTATACCTAAACAAGTACGAGCCAATTTTTATTTTATTATTTTACAGCCAAAGTTATTGCACTAACTGACGATTCAAAAGAACCTCTTGGACCAAATTGTGAAGGGGAATTGTGTTTTAAAGGAGAAAATATCATGAAAGGATATTATGGCGATGAAAAAGCAACGCGAGCATCAATTGATGAAGAAGGTTTTCTTCACACCGGTGACGTTGGATATTATAATGAAAAAGGGTATTTTTACATTGTCGATAGAGTGAAGGAACTTATCAAATACAAGGGATTTCAAGTTCCTCCCGCGGAGCTCGAAGCTATTTTATTCACACATCCGGCAATACAGGATGCAGCAGTCGTTGGTTTACCCGATGAATTTGGTGAAGAATTGCCACTTGCTTTTGTTGTTAAAAAGCCCGATGTCAATGTTTCTTCCATCGAAATCATTCAATACGTTAATGGTAAAATCAACTGTATATAAGGAAAGTTAGAAAATTTACGCGAAATAAAAATTATTATTTTACGAAACTAACAGCTCAGTGTACCGACTCAAGATTACTATATTATAGACTGAAGCAAAAATAAAACGACGAAAGGACTTAGTCAAACGCACGGTCGGTAACGAAAGGCTCCGCAGTCCCCACTACGAAGTACCATAGAGATATCTAATGTGACGTCACACTCAACCGGTAAAGTCACAGAAAGTAGAGCGATTATCATCGTGGCCCCAAGCTTACATTGGCTTATATAGAAGATGGCAGAAAATGTTTTTTTTTCCCTGAAATTAAATAATAAATCATGATAACCATTTGTGTTTCGGACAAAGTAGTGATTTTTGCAATACATATGTATTTTTAAGTCTGTCATTAATGTTTGAATAATTTACAAATTAAATAAAATCAGCTCTAGCAGAAGAGTATATTTGTATTTTCGTCTGCTAGAGCTGATTTTATTTAATTTGTAAATTATTCAAACATTAATGACAGACTTAAAAATACATATGTATTGCAAAAATCACTACTTTGTCCGAAACACAAATGGTTATCATGATTTATTATTTAATTTCAGAGAAAAAAAACATTTTCTGCCATCTTCTATATAAGCCAATGTAAGCTTGGGGCCACGATGATAATCGCTCTACTTTCTGTGACTTTACCGGTTGAGTGTGACGTCACATTAGATATCTCTATCCAATCTCTCCTCCTATGGGATGCGCGTCAGTTAATCAAGAAATTAGTTTCAATGTTGGTGGTAGATGGAGCTAGAGTCCATAATTTTTAAATTGCGACAAAATGTGAACGTGCGTTAGGTTCCAAAAGAATAGTGCCAGAATTTTGGGGAATAATATAAATTTCCCCAAAAATTTTTCACTAGATGACTGAAAACGTGATTTCCTTCATTGTGGGGATTACAGATTAGATTACACCGGACCACACTGGTAAAGAAAAGAAGATAAAACTTACACTACCGTCGGAAATTGTCGGTACGGCTGACGTTCGAGGAGTGGAAATTCGGTGCTGACTTTAAAGCAAGATATTTCAAGTTAGAAAAAAGTTAGAGACTTCTAACTTAGGCCCTGGTGGATCTCGAAATTGGAATGTACGCTGAATTCGTTGTACATTCGTTACACATTGGTTAAACATTTAGTTGGAGTGAAAATTGTGTGGAAACTGAGTGGAAAAGTGTAAATGAATTGAATAATAAAAGTATTGATAGATTTGTGCTGTATTTGTGATAAATTAACGTGTTATTGTTAAATAAATAAAGTTTAAAGTGTAAAATGTTCGCGTAAGTGAGTTTGACAGGCTAGGGAATTTTCTAGTGACATCCAAATTGATAGTCGATAAAGAAGTTGAGCCGCCGACTTTGCACGGTAGGTGGCAGCATTCATACTTTCGCCTTTTTAAAAATTCTCTTTTTCAATTGTAAATAGAAAAATTAATTAATAAGTTTTATAGTTTCTATGTTGTCATTTTTTTTAACAATTGAATTTTTGAAGATTGTTTAATGAGATAAATTAAACTTGTATAATCGATGCAAATTGTTGTTTTTTAATTAATTAATTAAATTAAAATGACAACATAGAAACTATATAACTTATTAATTAATTAATTTTTCTATTTACAATTGAAAAAGAGAATTTTTAAAAAGGCGAAAGTATGAATGCTGCCACCTACCGTGCAAAGTCGGCGGCTCAACTTCTTTATCTACTATCAATTTGGATGTCACTAGAAAATTCCCTAGCTTGTCAAACTCACTTACGCGAACATTTTACACTTTAAATTTTATTTATTTAATAATAACACGTTAATTTATCACAAATACAGCACAAATCTATTTCTAAATACTTTTATTATTCAATTCATTTACACTTTTCCACTCAGTTTCCACTCAGTTTCTACACAATTTTCACTCCAACTAAATGTTTAACCAATGTGTAACGAATGTACAACGAATTCAGCGTACATTCCGATTTCGAGATCCGCCAGGGAGGGCCGTCCATAAACTACGTTACCTATTTTAGGGGGGGAGGGGGTCAAAAAATCTAAAAAAATGCATTTAACGCAATGGTAACGAGGGGGGGGAGGGGGTCTAAAAAGAATGAAGAAGTGGTAACGTAGTTTATGGACGGCCCCTTACATGGTTGGAAAGCTGATAAAATTTTGCTTCTGAATGTATATCGAGAAAATTTTTTTCTTTTTTTTTGGTATTTATAACACCGAAAAGATTTCAAGAAAAAATTATGCAATTTTCCTACTTTCGTACTAATGTTTTTGACTTCCGGCATAATCTAGAATAATGTACGGAAAAATTTTACAACATAATCTTTAGGGTCTTAGCTTTAACTACAAAACATTTTTTAAGTTTCAAAAAATCAAATTAAAGCTAAGACCCTAAAGATTATGATGTAAAATTGTCAAATTTTTCCATACATTATTCTAGATTCTGCCGGAAGTCAAAAACATTAGTACGAAAGTAGGAAAATTGCATAATTTTTTCTTGAAATTTTATCAGCTTTCCAACCATCTAAGTTAGAAGTCTCTAACTTTTTTCTAACTTGAAATATCTTGCTTTAAAGTCAGCGCCGAATTTCCACTCCTCGAACGTCAGCCGTACCAACAATTTCCGACGGTAGTGTATGTATAATTACGATATTTAAAATTTTTTAATTGAATTTTGTTAATTAATTAAGTCTGTCAATGAATTTTAATAGTTTTAACAGTTATAGTCCAAGTCAAAGTTTCTTTGTTTACATTTTCATAACCTCAAATTTTTATATTTTAAATGAAAAATTACTGCGGGTTTTAAAAAAAAATTATTTAAGTTGATATAAATGTTTCAAAATGATTGGATAAATTATTTTAGACTTTCTTTAATGCAATTACATATTACGATGCACATTTATGCAATTATTAATTTAATTATTTAAGATCAAATTTTATCTGACGCATTCTAACCTCTAAATACATTATTTTCGACACAGTAATTGACACGCAGAAACTAATTCAAACGCGTAGTAATACAAAATTTCAATGTCACTTTTAACTGCTTAAATTTGTTTAAATAATGTATTTTTAAATACAACTGCCTATGTATGGGGAAGTCGACCAAGCCTGCTTAGAAATGCCAGTTGGTCTTGACTTTGACTTTGAAAACCATATTTATTTATCATTGAGAGTTGTACATTAAAGTTATACAAAAAATTTCTTAATTCTAAGATATATATTCAGCGCCTGTTATTTTAAGTAACTTATCTGAATGTTTTTTATTTTATTAAAGTTTATATATTTAATAATATTTATATATTCTTTGTTTGGGTAAAAAGGTAGAATAATTCAAAAACCATTTGAAAAATGCCAGTTGGTATTCAACGCGTCCGATATTTATCCGCTACGCGTGTGCGACGAAAACTTTTGCACTCTGCGCAGAGTTACATTCGTTTTTAGTAAGCGACGCGCATACAGGTGGTGAGGGAAACGCGGCCTTTCTCCACCGTCCGTGCGTTTGCCTGGGTCTGTTAATATTTTTAAATTTCAAACTATATTTATAGTTATAATTCATTTTTAAAGTCTATTTCAATTAAATTTTTATGAAAAATAATTTTCAAAATACTATGAACAAAATTTCCATTTAATCGAATTTTCATTGGTACAACTTTATTTTAACGAATCCCTTATTTATTAATAATGGCAAAAGAAGTTGAATTTTATAATAAAAATCAAGATATAAATATTCATATACGGAATAATTTTTTTTTGTAGAAGCTGTCTCACCTCAAAAAAAATTAAGAGGAGGAGTTAGATTTATCGAAGCAATTCCAAGAAGTTCTGCTGGAAAAATTCTACGCAAAGATTTGCGTAATATATTAGTTTCAATAAAAGATTAATAAGTAAACGATTATACGTAAGAATTATGAATAAATAAACAAACTAATAAATAACAATTCTCATAATTTAATACCATAGTACTTATGAAAAAAAGAGTTACAAATTTATTTATCAATAATGTACGAACATCACATTTTTTTTTGTTTATGAAAAACTTTCAAGGCCTTTGACGGTTTTTTTTTCTTATTTTGAAGTTCTGTAAGATGTTTTAAAAAATTAAAATGGAATGTTTATTTCTAAAAAGAAACACATTTTATCTGTTAAAATAATAAATTAGGTACAAAATTTTATCATTTATATTTTAATAAAATAGAAATGAAAAAAATTGCGTCGTATATAAATAAAAATTACTCTCTTTTAGAATTATAAAGAGAAATTAAAATAATAAAATAAAATTTTTTAAAATTCATCTAACTATGAAAATAATTTACTGAAATTTCTGTTTTATTTCGTCTGGAATGTGATTTAAATACCAACGATGATCTTCATCAGGTGCAGTGGCTAAAACTCCTCCAATATTTGGAAAATCAGTTTTCGAATCGTAATTATAAGTTTGTCCAAGAAGATCTGTAAGTTTTCCACCAACTGCATGAAGAATTGCTTCCGGTGCACATGTGTCCCATCTTTTTGATCCTTTACTTGCAAAAACATAACAGTGAGCCTTTCCTTCTAACAATAACATCACCTGAAAAAAAATTAAATTATTTCATCAAATTTTAGTAATAAATTTAGTTTTTCCAAATTTTGTAGAAATTAGAGATAATAATTATTTCCGAAACGATTCTAATTTAAAAAAAAAATAAACTAATTAAAATTGATCTTACTTTATGTCCTGCACCTCCGACTCGTAAAACTTCAGTAGGCTCCAAAGAATTCACAGCTTTTTCTACAGTCTCATTGGAATGCGATCTATTGGAGAAATAAAAATAATATATTAAATAAGCTCTAAAATTATTTTGTTATAGAAACATTAATTGACCAAATTTCATTACCTAGAATTTTTTTTTAGTAAAATTTTTATTTTTCCCAATTATTATTTAACAGAAATTCCAATAAAACGAATTATTATATATTACAGAATTGTTACTTAAATGAATTTTTATTTTGTTTACAGAAAAATTTGGACGCGAATTTTAAAATTAATCCGAAATTATCAACAAAATTAAGAGTGGTTAATTTTTAAATTCGCATCAAAATTTTTCTGCAATTTTCGGACAAATGAAAGTTCTGTAAAATAAAAATTCGGCATTTTAAGAATTCTGTAAAATGTAAATTCGAGCAAATGAAAATTCGGCTAAAAAAAATTATTTCTGTAAAATAAAAATTCCTTTTAATGACTATTATGTGTAAAAATAATAATAGTTTATGTAAAATTCAAAGTCGATAAAATAAAAATTCAGTTAAACAAAAATTCGTTACAGTAACAATTTTATAATATTTGAGAGAAAGTTCCATTTTAAAATAAAATTTGCAAATAAGTTAATAAAAATCATACCGACTAGTTGTGAGGATTCTCTTTCCAATTGGTGGAGAAATATTCTTAAAACCACCAATGCCCACGCCGTCAATACCCCAAATTGTTCTACCCAAACTTCCATTATTGTCATTTTTATAATAAGGTTGATGAATAATACCGGCAACTGCCCTTTTGCCAACAGCAACGCCCACCAAAACGGTTACATGCTCAACTAGACCCTGAGTATATTCTGAAGTTCCTGGATAATTATAATTATTAAAAATTATTTTCAAATTCTTTTGTCTTTTTATTTTCATTTTCATTTACTATTCTTACGATTACTTCAGTATAATATATAAACACAGTCAAAATAAAACTAAATATTATATCGAAAATTTTCTAATTTCTAATTTTAAATTACAATTTTTTAAAAATTTCTAAAAAATAAAAATGTTATGTTTTTGAATATATAAAGAAAATTATATAATAATAAAATGCTTGGTCTGTCCTTCTGTCCTAACTTGAAGTTGGCCTTTTCTGATTTCACTTGTTTTTTTGAATAGCAATCTTATGACGTGTCAAATTTTGACAATTCTTTTTCTAATTTTTGCCAAAGTTGTATAATTGTGTTTCCAAATTTCGGAATAAGTTTCTTTAAAATTCCAAATTCGAAAATTCAATTCACGAAGCTGAAGTACACAACGTTTACCAACGAAATTTTTTTTAAAGTTGTATATTGATTCAAAAATTCTATACAAATACAAAAAATTTATGATGAGAAAAAAGATGCGCCAGGAAATTTCGTACAAGATAGTAATTTGAAAAAAATTTATTTTTCAAAATTAATTTTTAAGGTACTATAGGGGCCAGCGAATACCTATTAAGTAAATATTAATTATAAAAACACAGGCCTCGAATCAACTTAAAGACACAAAAAAGTCGTTTTAGTCGATTTATATTCCAATAAAAAGTGGATTTGTTTTTTATTTTAACAAAAATATTTTATAGATTTTTAAATAAAAAAATTTTTTTTCATAATAATCCTTTTCGAAGGGTTAAAGTTGAAATTTTTAGAAATAATTAAATTTCAAAAGATATTGTTAATTTTCAAACAATTATTAAATTTTACAGAACTAAAAATAATTTATTAAACAATTTTTGGAAAACATTTTTTAAATTTAATTGAATTTTCAAAGATTTGAAATTAATTGAAACTTTAAGTGTTTTGTAATTAAAATTTTAGATGATTTCACTAAAAATTTATTAGAAAATGTGGACAAAATACAATAATTTGAAAATCATTTTTAATTGAAAAATGGTTTCAGATAGTTGAATTTTCAAAGAATATTATTAAAATAGTTAAAAATAATTGAATTTCCTTAGAGTTATAATTGAACTTACTAAATTTCAAAAAAAAAAATTTCGATGGAAAATTTTAGAAATAATTAAATTTTAGATGCTGTTAAATTCAAATTATTGAAAATTCAATTAATTTTGAATTCAAATTTTTGAGAATAACGAAAATTTAATTGATTTTAAATTTGGAAAATAATTGAATTTCAGTTCATTTTCAATTGAAAGTAATTGATTGATTTTAAATTGAAAATTTTTTAAATAATTAAATTTCAATTAAAATTTTGGAAAATAATTTTATTTTAGTTAAATTTTAGTTGATTTTGAATTGAAATTTAGAAAACAATTGAATTTTAGTTGATTTTGAATTGAAATTTTTGAAAATAATAGAACTTTAGTGTATTTTGAATTGAAATTTTGGAAATTTTTGAAAATATTTAAATTTCAATTAAAATTTTGAAAAATAATTGTATTTTAGTTAACTTTTAGTTGATTCTGAATTTAAATTTGGAAAATAATTGAATTTTAGTTGATTTTGAATTGAAATTTTTGAAAAAAATTGAATTTTAATTAATTTAGAATTAAAATTTTCGAATAGAATTGAATTTTAGTTGATTTTTAATTGGAATTTTAGAAAATAATTGAATTTCAATTGAAATTTTGAATAATAATTTAATTTAAGTTCATTTTTGATTGAAAATTTGGATAATTAATTTTGAATAGAAATTTTAGAAAATAATTGAATTTTATTTTATTTTAAATTTAAAACTTGGTAAATAATTAAATTTTAAACTGAAAATTTTGGATAATTATTTGATTTTTAATTGATTTTGAATTAAAATTTCGGGTAATAATTGAATTTTAGTTTATTTTGAATTGAAATTTTTGAAAAATAATTCAATTTTATTGTGATAAATTTTTTAAAATTATAAACAATTGTTAAATTTCATAAAAATTTTAATTGAAAAATAATTTTGATATAATTGAATTTGTGATGTATTTCATTAAAATTATTAAAAATAATTAATTTAGTGAAGAATCATTTTAGTTCAAAATTTGTTAAATAATTGAATTGAAGAAGATCTGAAGAAGATCTACATTTTATACTAAAAAAATGTATTTTATTTACATTTTTTTTCAAATGTAAAAAAAATGTCACATTTTATTAAAATAAGTCGATAAAAGTCGTATTTTTGAAAAAAGTCGGAAAAAGTCGTATAATCCGAGGCCTGTAAATATATAATTTCCATTATTATCATTTAATATGTAATAATATTCTATTAAATTAAATTATTATTGATAATATTAATCTTTAATTTCTTTATAACAAACAATTAAATACTCAATTTGAAGCGCTTGCGCGCGTTTAATTTTGCTAGTATTAAATAATATATTATAATAATAAAAATAATAATAATACATACTTTGTAGAAATAGGTCCATATGTTTGAATAAATAAATAAATAATTTAAAACATTACAAAAAAATGTTAATTGTCAGATGTTTAATAATTTATTAATGTAAAAATTCTAATTAAAAAGATATGAATAAACTTAATTTATTAAAGTTATCTGTATTAATATAAATAAATTTATAATTTATTTATATTAATTAGTGATTAATTACTAAACTAAATTTAGTAAATAATTTAACTGAAAATAATACCCAGTTAAATATAATTTTTTTAAGCAATTTAAATTTTGTCTGTTTCAATAAAATTAAATCATTAAATTTAAAAAAATAAATAATTTATTAAAAATTAATAAAGTAAAAAATAATAAATAATAAATTAAAAATATCTACTTACCATCAAGTGGATCGACCCAAACACATATATTTTTTGCCTCGATATTATCGAGAGATTCAGGTAATTTAAGAGTGAGTATCTCTTGATCCATATCGGTGACAATCCAATCCGAAGGAATTTCACAGGAGGCAGAATTATCTTCGCCAATAATTGTTATATTTGGAAAATGTTTACTGAGCGATGAAATAATACATTTTTGAGCTGAACGATCGGCTTCAGTTTGTAAATCATTTTTACCCTTTTCAATTATATTCAATTCACCGCGACTCATTACATCACGTATTATTTTTCCCGCTCTATTCACAACAATCACAGAAGATGCAACTATTCTTGCCAAAAGGGTTGCACTTTGAGCCATTTTTTTTTTTTTAAATCTTTCTTTAAAATCGATTAAACTGCTTTGTCTGTTCTGTAAACCACTGAGTGTGAGGAAATATAATTATAGACAAAAGTATAATACTTTCTAATTTTTTTTTCCCGTTATATAGAAATACGTCAACAAATAATTACGAGACCAAAAAATACAAAGTATATATTTAGTAAAAAAAAATCGACCTTCCACTCAAGGTTCAATAAACGAATAAATGCGTAATTATACAATGAAATTTAATAAGCATAATGGTAAATTTTTTTTAATAATTTATATATATTAAGTTTGTTTATAATTATAAATTATATATTTTTATTTACTCTCTCTCTACCAATGTAGAGTTTGAGGCTCTCAAAAAATACAATATAAATAATATTTATATTTATATGTAAGGGATTTGAAAATGTTAAAACTATGTACATAGTATTACAAGAATAAAATACTACCACTACAATATAAATAATATATTAATTTATTCAAGTTAATTTAGAAAAAAAATATTAATTTTTTATTTTATATTTTTTTTTATTTTCATTTTATATATTTTATTAAAATTTAGTAAAAATTAATGAAAAAAAAAAGATAATATTAAAATTATTTAGGAGAAATAAATTTATTGAGGGATTATAAAAAATAAATTCTACTTAGTTCTTTTTTTGTCAATTTTTATAGACATAAATTTTGTTAAATTGAAATTATATTAATTTAAAATTTTTAAAATAAAGTATTAGAAAAAATGCTTTATAAGTGTTCTGCTAAATAGAAATTCTTTTAAATCGAATTTTAGTTTAATGTAAATTGAAAATTTTGCATAATATAAAATTCACTTTATACAATTTTGCTAAATAGAAATTCGATAATTTAATATTCGACGCCGTAAAAATGTTTATAATTTAAATGTGGGTATTGGCATTAAATAATAAATTATTCGTATTAATGAAATAATTTAATTTATTTGAAATTGAACCGATAAAATAAAATTGTATCAAATAATTTTTATTTTATATTAAAAAAACCAAATATTTCACTGAAAAAAATTAATTAATTGTTATCCAAGTTTAAAAAATCATTTATTAGATTCAATAAATAGTAGTAAATAATTATTTACTTAATGAATATAAGATATATCACATGCTTAATAATTGAGTGTGAAGGCCAAATTTTTAATTTGCATTTGCTTTAGGAAAAAAGTAAAAAATTTTTTGAAACTAATAGTTACTTTAATTTATTCATAAAAAAATTCCAGAAAATTAAAGAAATTTCCTGACTTTTCTGTGATTTTTCCCTGACCATTTATATTCTCTGACTTTTCCCTGACTTCCCTGACCGTTAGACACCCTGTAATTGTTTAATAAAATAATTGAAATTATTTTGAAAAATTTAATACAAAAAAAAATTGCAATTACATTAAAATATTTAATTAAATAATTGAAAATTATCCTAATATATTTAACCAAATTATTGAAAATATCTTTAAATTTTTAATCAAGTTTTTTAAATAATTATAATTATCTTCAATTACTCAATGAAAATAATTGAAATTATTTTGAATTACTGAGTCAAATTAATGAAAAATCTTTATAATTATACTCAATTAAATAATAACTTATATAATTATAAATCATTATTATTATTATTATTATTTTATAATTATTAATATTTTATAATTATTATTATTCATATATAGCAAAAAAGTACAAATGATAAATTCTGTTAACATAACCTAAAAAGTTTATATACGCGATGTATATATTTTGAATTAAAATCTATTATAAATAAATAAAAATAAATTATTAATAATAGCTAAAGTATAAAATAAGTTTTAAAACTATTATTTTCAAAAAAAATAAAAGAATATTTTACTTACAATGGTCGAAATATAATTTTCTAAATGCAAACAATAAACTTATGTCAAGAACACAATTTTTTTTAAAGTTATAAAGAATAGAATTTTAACAATTTTAGACAACAAATAAAAACAATAAAACAAATAAAGTTTGTACGTCAAAAAATTACAAATATTAAAATCCACAGGCAGATGTAAACATTACTCGGAATACATGCGAGGTATAGGTAAGGTAAGGTTAGTTTGAAAGCATAATAACATGTGGAAAACCTAACCACAAAAAGTTTGTTGTTATTTTCTCAAAATCTCGGCGATATAAAAATTCTCTAATTTTGTTTGTGAAATTATTAACTTTTGTAAAAACGAAAAAACACCTTTACTTAAATTTGACATTGTGTCTAATTAATAAAATGGATAATTTTACATCTAATTTTAATAATTTTTCGAATTTTTTTAGTGAAAAAATTCAACTTTAATATATTATACGAGAAAAAAGTAAATTTTTTTTTATTATCGCGACTTAAACATTCCAATAAATATTTATATTTATATACATGTCTTCAAAAGAATATTTCGTATATGATTTTACAAAATTCAATAATGTTAAAACTTATCAGAGATCAATTTTCCACGACAATAAAAAATTCTATTCGATGTTGTGCTGCAATAATAAAGAAAAATGAAGGTTTGTTTTTAATATTTATTTTATTTATTACTTATAAATATTAAATTTAAATTGTTTTATTTAAACAAATTTTAAATTTATGTTTTTAATAAAATTCCTATAAAGAAAAAAAATTCATTTTCTAATAAATTTCATTGTTTTTTTATTTTATTGCGATTTTCTTTTCTATAAGTATTTTTCAATTTTTATTCTTCCAATAAATTGAAAAAATAATCTAATATTTATTAATTTTAAAAATAAATATGAAAGTGAAAAATTAATTTTTATCTATAAAATATTTTTAAAAAATTATTAAAATTGGTTAAAAATTAATTTTATTTGTTACTAGAAAACTATACATAAAATAAATAAAAGCGTATTGCATTGTTAATTTATTTAAATTGTTAAGTAAGTAAATTATATAATTACAAAATTTTTATTTTTATATTTTGAATATTTAAATTTTAATTTTTCTATTAGGAATTTTAATAGATTACTATTTTTCAATTGTTTTAAATTAATTGAAATTGAAACATTCTCTCAATAATATTTTCGATAAATTATAATATAATTTAATTTTGAATATAATTAATAAAATTATAAATTGAACATAAGCAATATTTATATTATTCTTTTAATTTAAAAACAATATTTTTAATTAATATACAAAATTAATTTCACAAAATTGTTGTTCACATTCTTCGTATTTTATTTTAAAGAAATAATCAAAAAAAACTTTTTTTCGAAAGTAAAACTAAAGAATTATCAATTGAATACAAGATTTATTATTATTTTTTTCTTCAAATTAAAAGGAAAAAATCTTTTTAAAATTTTGTTTACTTTTTTTCCATTTTCAATAAATATTTAAATAACATTTTTCAATTAATCACTATTAATTAAATTAACTAACAATAATAAAATAAAATTAATTATATTTTTATTTTCTCTTTTTTATTGTTGTAGAAAATAAAATACCCGAAAATATGGATGTAAACAATAATTCCGAAAATGAAAAACCAAAGAAAACTACATATAAAAAGAAGGAGGGTATAACTAAAACTGAAATTAAAAAATATTTAAAATCTGTAAATTCAGAAGAACTAATTAATAATATGCCAAATCCTATGAACAGAAGATCAAGAAATCCAGCCGCTTTGTTTCTTATTGATAGTAATTTGGCAGAAAAAATTGCTAATAAATTGGAAGATGCACTTACATCAGATCCTGATATGTTTATTGCTGAAGTTAATCCCGGTTGGGGATTATTGACGGAAAATTTATTAAAAAAGTCAATTTCAAAAATTCATCTTTATGAAACATTTGAATTTTTTTTAAATCCAAATTCTCGATTACAAAATATTGTCAAAAAAAATGAAGAACGTTTAGAATTACGTAAAAAGAATTTATTTGATCTTTGGACAATTGTATTTCGAGATTTTCGAGGATCAACGAATGATGAGGAAAAATTGTTAAAGGGAACAAAAATAAGGGAATGGAAGGATAAACCATATATGACAGTAATTGGTACTATAACAAATGAAAGTTTTATAAAACACTTGATAATGAGTGTTCTTTTTCAAAATACATTCATGAAACGAGGAAGAATTGTTTTCTATTTAATGATAGATCCAATAATTTGGGAGGTGTGAAATTGTTTTCTTATTTTTTAAAAATACATTTATTTTCAAAAAAAAGGAGAAAAAAAAAGTTTCTAAAAATGTTACCATTTTTTTTTTAATTATAAAAATCTTATTTTAACGGAAACTTAAAAAAAAAAATCAGACTAAGAATCGGAACAGAAGTAAATAAATTTCTCTTGAAATTTTAAAAAAGTAAAAAATTTTAAATAATTTAATTTTTAACATTTTAAACAATTAGAAATTGTATTTAAATTAAAATTTAAAATTTTTATGCAATGTCTAATTGTTTAAAATTAAATTATTTAAAATTTCACCGAACCTTTTTTAAAATTTAAATCATTTTTTTTTTTTTAATACAAAAATAAACAGTTGGACTAACTTTTTTTCCGATTCTTTGTCTGATTCTAACTTAAGCAGAAAAAATTCAAATCTAAGGAATTAAATGTGATTTTTTTTTAACAAAAACTGAGTTTTAAAAAATCAAAGTTATTAATATTTTAATAAAAATTTAATTTTTTATTTATATAATATCTATAAATTTATTTTACAAAAAATACAATTCCCTGGGATTTAAAATTAATGCGTTAAAAGCAAAAATTTTAAATTAAAAATTTTTTTAAATAATTAAATTAAATTATTTTAATTAGTATGTTTTTTTAAAATTTATTTAGAAAATTAATTATTTATGTAAATTATTTAGTTTTTGAAGAATTTATTCAAAATTTTTGAAAAAATTAAGTTTCTGAAAAATTTGAATTACAATTTTAATTAAATAATTGAGAATAAGAATTTTAGAAAAAAAATTTTTTTAATATAATATTGAATATTCGAAGAATTTTAATTGAAAAATATATAAAAAATTAAATTGTGAAAGTATTAAAGAATCATAGTTTTTCGATATCACAAAAAAATTCAAATTTAAAGGATTATGAGTTATTACGTGAAAGGTTAACCTTGAAAAAAATAATTTTGAATATTAGAAATCTTCAAAAGACCTTGATTAAAAAAAAAAGTTACTGAACACCCTGAGAATGGTATTATATAAAATTTCTAAAACACGACAAAAATTTTAGTCAAAAAAAGTCATTTTTATGTTATGTGTATTAAATACTTCGTAAATTAATTATTTTTTTGAAATTAAAAATTTTTTTTATTTTTAATTTCAAGAACATATTTTTTTTATTCCTGAATTTTTTGTTTTTGTTACGATTAATATCGTTTTTCGCTAGTAAAAACTTGGTAATTTTATAATTTCTTTGTAAATTTTTTAAATAAATTTTTTCCTCATAAGACAAAATTTTATTTAAAAATTTTCAATTTTGTTAAAAAATTAAAATAATGAAAATTCTCTTTAATAAATTTAAATTTGTCCTACATGAAAATTCATCATTATTATTATAATAATTATAAACTTTTATTTTATTTTTAATAATCATCTACAGCAAATAATCTTACAAAATATAATTTTTTTTTTTTCAGAAATATATATCACCAAAACAGACAGGAACCTATAATTGTCGAAGTGTTATATTTCAAAGTCTATTTGATTATGAGAAAATTGAGACATTACCAAGAAAATCTTTTCTACCTTGGCTTTATAAAAAAACTTATTTGAATCAAACAAATAATAAAAATTTAAGAAAATTGAAATATGAATATGTTTATTTTGTAAGAATTGAGCCAAAAATTGATTTATACGACAACATAAGTCAAGCGGATTTACTCACATATTATTATTTTATCAAATATCATATGCAAATATCGCACACAAGAGTAATACCGGCTTTAGAGTAAGTAATGTAAAATTTTTTTTTTTTTATTTTGAATTTGAATTTAAATTATTTTCCCTAATCCTAATGAAAATAATTCAAGAGATTTTCAAATTATAAAAAAATGTGAGAATAATAATTTTTTGAAACAAAAGTTTGAATTGAAAATTTCAAAAATTATAATTTTAGTAGGATTTTTAGAAATTTGATATTTTTCCAGTACTTTTCATATAAAATTCCGAAGTTGACTTTGACGGTATTAGCGAGGAAAAATCTCTTAAATTTAAAAAATAGAAATTTTTTTCAAAAATCCGAGACGCAATATAAAAGTTATTTCATGTAATTTACAAATTACAATTGGCAAACAACATGAAAATTTTGTTTATTAGAATGTGAATTTACTATATTATAATTTTTATTACTTAAAATAATTAATTAATTAAAAATTCTTTTTTTAACCAATAATATTTCTTTCATTTTACAGAAATTGGATACCCGGTTGTGGACCACGATTAATAATGCGTAATTTTACTATTTACACGGAATTTCAAGATTTAGATGTGAAACAACTTTTGGATCTTTATAAAGAATTTAGCTCTTGGCCAGAATTCAAAGAGTGTTATTTTCTTACTTTATCGTCCGATTTTTATTCTTCAATGGAGGATGCTTTTCATGAAATGGGATGTATTTAGCTCTTATTTGTTTTTGAATTAAAATTATTTAATTTTGTTACGACTTTATAAATGATAAAAAATATTTTTTCAACAAGGAAAAAAAGAATTGCTTATGGGACATTTCATATGAAATTTTTTCAATTAACTTCAAAAAAAAAAAAAAAATAAAAAAAATCTCTTATAACTAATTGTAAATAATAATTTTAATAAAAAAAAAAAATTGTTGCATATTTTATATGAAGTGTCACTATATTTTACAATTAAATTGAAGCAATAAAACAAATGTGTATAATATAAGGACGTAATTAGAAAAAAGAGATTCGACAATTTCATTTCCTTATCAATAAAGGAATTTATCCTTTTGTGAATCAGAAGGAAATGTTTTTGTTCTTGTAAATAATTTATTGTATAAAATTATATAAGGAAAATATTTATATCCTTATTGAATGAATTTTATAAAAATAACTCTTTTGTATTTATTTGTGTTACAAATGAAAAATTTTCATTTTTTTCTCTCTTGGGAAATGTTAATTTTTTTTTTTTGAAAATTAGTCGCGTGAATGTATCTCAAGTTCAAGTGCACTGTCCCGCTAAGTATTTCTCGCGTGTGTTTGTTTCATTAATTTATTTATCACTGACGTAACTGGAGAATGAATAATATAAAAATCCGGTTACTTTTTTTTTTTTTTTATTTCAATTCAAATGAGATGAGCGTATTTGTGTGTAACTTCAACTCGACCGTTTTATTTTCTTCTCTTTTTGTATATGTAGTTTGCCTTGAGAGGCAATGCTCGACGATAATCTTCTCTCACTATAAACTCAGATTCTCAGTCTCAACTTTCTCAGTGGGAAGTTAACATTATAATAAGTTATTCACCCCAAATTTATTTTATTTTTTTTCTATTTTTCTATTTTTTTTTTTTTTTTGATATATTTTCTTTTATAAAGAAAAAATATGAAAATTATTCTACAATTTTTTGTTACGGCTGCAATTTTCTGGCAAATCTGGAGTCAGGACATTGCATTTCCAATTGAAGGTACAACGAACCACGTGAGCGGAAATATTGGAAATCCTGGCGGACCAGTTGTAAGTTTTTTTATTGAATTTTTATTATTTTTTTTTTTTAAATCAAGTTGAAATATCAATTTTAGAGATTTTTTTTATAATTTTTTTTTCTCTTATCTCGTCACAAAGAGAAACATGAAAAATTAGTTTTAATTAAAAATTCGAATAATTATTTGATTAATATTTTTTAATTATTTTTGTTAAATGTTTCGTTTGATCAATTTTTGTGTTGATTTTTGACAAATGCTGAAAAATTTTATAAATTCATTAGAAACTTTTGAAACAAAAATATTTAAACTTTCTATTTCACAAATATTTTAAAAAAATATATAAAGTTTTGAATTTCGTCATTTTCAAGTTTTTTCATATCGTGAAAAGATCATCATAGACGTTTAAAATATAAAGAGAAGATTTAATTATTATGTTTATTAATAAGAATAAAAAATATTTTATAATGATTAACAAATTATCTGTTTTAAATTTAAAATTAATATAATTTCTATCAATTTTTTTTTTTTAAGTAGGAATTGGATAGACAGTCAAATAAAAATTTTTTTTTTTTTAAACAGTCTCTGATAAATAAGGAATTTTTTTCCTGTTTATGCGAAAGTGGTGTTTTTTGCCATTAAAATATTATTTACAATTTTTAAGCTAGATGCAAATTTACATTATGTATTTCTGAAAATAATATAAAAACAAATGAATTATAAGGGAAAAAAATTTTAATTGCTAATAACTTTAATAAAAAAAAAAAAATTTCTTTTTTGTTAAATTTATTTTTATTACACTAAGAGTAAAAAAAATTGATTTTTAAATCATTTTAAATTAAAAATTTAAATGTAAATTAAATTTCAAATGATCCGTTTGAGAAATTCTGACGCAATATAATTTTGTTTTTTTTTTTGTTTTTCAGTTAACAGAAAGAATTCCGGTACATTCGCCAGGACAATGTCCTGAGAATATGTTACTTTATCCAGGAGCTGGAAACAGTAGCACATGGATTTGTGATTGTAGATTGAATTTTGTCTATTTTCCGGATTCGGACAGTTGTCATGAACTTTATAAACGTGGTCCATGCCCGCTAAAACAAATTGTTGTTTTACCGCGCAATGAAGTTATTCCAAAGTGCATTGACAATTTATGCCAAGAGGAAAATCAGGTTCCATTTAATGGCACATGCAGTCGAATTGGTAGTATCGGCGGAATTTGTGGCATGAAAGGAATGCTTATTATTAACGGGACAACATATCAACTTGAATGCATGGATTTGGGAGTTGAACATTTTGTTATAATAAATGCGCCAATGAAAGTTTGTCCACCCGGTAGTCGTCGAAATTCCTCAGGACATTGTAAATATGTCCTTTAGGGGAATTAAAAAAAAAACAACATTTTTCTCTAATTACATATTTTTATTATCATTAATTTTCATTTTTTTTTTTTTTTTTTTTTTTTTTTGAAAATTTAGTAAAAAAAAAATTTCACAAAGTATCTGAGAGGCTGAATTATTTTAAATAAGACTGGAGTTAATTAGCGATGATTTTTTTTTAATTTTACTTTTCAAGTGTTTACAATATTAGGGTAAATGATACAGTAGTCGGCCACTTAAGAACAGGCGTCGACAATTTTTTTTTTTCAAAATATTGATAATTAAAAAAAAAAATTACAAATAACTAAATTTAAAAATTAGAAAATTTAACATTTTTCCGAAACTTAAAATTTTAAGCTAGAAAAAAATTAAGAAGCAAATATTTGTTTAATAACGTTAATTTATTATTAAAATTATTATTATTATTATTATTATTATTAAGTTATTATTATTATTATTATTTAAAATTATAATGTTATTAATTTAAAATGTAAGCGAAAAAGTTGTACTGCTAATTTATATTTTAAAATATAAGACATTTTTTAATTTCAGTATTTTTCAGTTTCATATAATAAATTTTTTTTTTTTAAATAAGTCTCATAAATAGATTAAGAATATAATTATTTTTTCTCAAACTAAAAATTCCAATACTTTTTTTGAAAACAACAAAATTTTCAATTTAAAATTCAATTCGTCACATAGAAAATTAAATTTTAAGAAATTTTTAGTTATAAAATTAATATTTTTCTAAGAAACAAATTTTAATTGTTAATTTCCAAATTTTTGAGACAAAAATAATATAGTTTTCAAATTTTTATTAGGAAAAAAAATTAAATAAATAAAAAAAAAAATGTTTAATATATATATATAATTTGAATCAGTTTTTTAAGTGTTAAAAATTAAATTAATTAAAACAGAAATATGTTGATGTTGAAAAATTGCAAAGACAGAAAATTCATAAATGAAAGAATACGCCGACAACACATTAAAAATGTTTACACTATTAAAAAAAAAAATATTATTAAAATGCAAAAAAAAAAATTAGGAAAAAATTTGATACCAGTTGTCCTTGGAATTATTAAAATTAGTCTCCTTTTTACAACTCTGGAAATATGAATTTATATATATTGTGAAGAAGCATTCAGTTTCATTTGATAATTCTGTCGAGTTTCATCACCTGGCTATATCTTTTATTCGCAATTTAATTATTATATCAAGAGAAAATAACATCAGTTCCAGGAAAATTGCTTTCCTATTAATAATTATGAGGCAATTACAAATTGTTCTTGTGTCATTTATTATTTGTCAAATTCGAGCCGAATTAATTGATTATGCGGTGAGTTTCCTCAATTTTTGACGTCAAAAAAAAAAAAAAATTTTTTTTTAATTAAAATATACTAAAATTCATATTTAAAATTATTGTATCCGTAAATTGTAATTTATTATTAATTATTAAATAAACTATCGAGGTACTTAATTTATTTATTAAAGCATGTAAAATATAAATAAATATTTCAATTTTAATTGAATTAAAGTTTAATTGAAATTTACATTAAAACTAAAAAATATTAATAAATATAAAATTCTAATTTTCTCGTTTCACAATTTAAAAAACTGAATACTATTTTTTTTATTTAATTTTCGAAACTAATTAATTTATTTAATTATTAAAAAAGTGACGTACGCCACTTCTAGTTATGAAAAAGTGGAACAGTTTTCAGTGATACAAATTATTAATAGTTACCCCACGCGTTCGTCAAGTGGCGCCACTTCGAACTAGAAAATAATTTTCAGTGGTATATATATTAAATGAAGTAATTTTGTACTTTATATTTAAGTAAATATTTTAAAATCGCTTCAGGAACGTTTTTAAAGCAAATATATGATATATTCCACGCCAAAGTGTAAGTCCATCTGCAATTGCATCTCCGATTTTTTTTTCTTTTAGTACTAATTGAGACTAGCTTCCATGAATTTTTTTCAAATTTTTTTAGCAAGCCGTTTTCGAGTTATGAAATTTTGAAAATTGGAGAATTTTCATGACTTTTAATTTTTGAATGCTCATAACTTCCTTAAAAATGCATTAATTTTAAAAGTCTTTTTTTTTAAATGTGTGTGTTTTAAACGTACTTTTCAAGAAAAAAATCGAAATTTTTTTTTAAACGATATTACTATCAAATTTTTGATTTTTAATGATAAAAAGTAATTTTTCTCATTTGACACGTACTGATCGATTTTTTTCAAAAATTTTTCAAAAAAACTACTTCATTTTACAAAACTTTTAATCCTAGCCCGATAATAGGCAAACAATTTTTACAATATTTTCGGAATTTTTCAAAAAATTTTGAATTTTTTAAAAATATTTTTGGCTTTTTTTTATACTATGTACTTTTATGTATTTTGATGCGCTGATTACGAAAATTTAGTGACAATATCCAAAAATTTGATTTTTATGGTGAAAACCATAAAAAAGTCCCAAAATTTATAGTTTTTTTCGTTTATTAGGTAAAATATGCAAAATTAAAAAAAATGCATTAGATAAAAAAATGTATTTTAATAATATCTATAACTTTTGTTTGAACATTTTTTTTAATTTTGCATATTTTACCTAATAAACGAAAGAAACCATAAATTTTGGGACTTTTTTATGGTTTTCACCCTAAAAATCAAATTTTTGGGTATTGTTAGTATGATTTTCGTAATCAGCGCATCAAAATACATAAAAGTACGTAGTTTAAAAAAAAACCAAAAATATTTTTAAAAAATTCAAATTTCAAAAATTTTTGAAAAATTCCAAAAATATTGTAAAAATTGTTTGCCCATTATCGGGCTAGGCTTAAAAGTTTCGTAAAAAGAAGTAGTTTTTTTGAAAAAATTTTGAAAAAAAATCGATCAGTACGTCAAATGAGAAAAATGACTTTTTATCATTAAAACTCAAAAATTTGATAGTAATATCGTTAAAAAAATTTTTTGATTTTTTTGTTGAAAAGTACGTTTAAAAACACACATTTTGAAAAAAAAGACTTTTAAAATTGATGCATTTTTAAGGAAGTTATGAGCATTGAAAAAATAAATTAAAATTAAAAATTAAATTAATTAAATTATTCTCCAATTTTCAAAATTTCATAACTCGAAAACGGCTTGCTAAAAAAATTTGAAAAAAATTCATGGAAGCTAGTCTCAATTAGTACTAATAGAAAAAAAAATCGGAGATGCAATTGCAGATGGACTTACACACTTTGGCGTGGAATACATCATATATTTTTAGAATCTATTGAATAGTTACCCCACGCGTTCGTCAGGTGGCGCCAGTTCAATTTTATTTTTAAAGAAAGTAAAAATTATTTTAAATAAAAAACGACTGAATGTACTATTTTTTTTTTTTTTTTATTTAATTTTCCAGACAAATTCGACAACATGTGAAGATAAAAATATGTTGCCCTATGCGCTGGATGAAAATTACACGACTTGGATATGCGATTGTATGATAAAATATTTATATTTTCCGAAAACTGATTCATGTCACGCTCCATACAGACAAGGACCATGTCTTGTGGGACAATATTTAATACTTTCGGATAATGATAATTTTGGAAAATGTGAGGAAAATCCATGCTTCTATGATGGTCTTGTGCCTTTTAAGGGAGGCTGCCATTCCCTTGGACAATTTGGACCACCTTGCGATAAAGACAATCAAACTGCTCTATTAGTTACTCTCGATTTTAAATTGATTTGTTCGTATCCTGTATTTTTTGGAATTATAACTGCGCCTGGAAAAACATGTCCAATTGGCAGTCGACGAATTGCTCTTGGAATTTGTAAAAAAATTTTGTAATCGTAAAAAAAAAATTACAAAATTTTACAATTGTCGTTTTTATTTTATTTAAGAAAAAACAATTGTAAGTTCAGGATATACACTAGTGAAATATATAATTTTATAAAAAAAAAAAATTTGTAATAAAAATATTATTCTCTAAATAATAATAATAATAATATAATATTATTCAGTTCTTTCGAAATTTTTATTTAATAAATTCTTTTTATTTATTTTGAACTTTAGAAAGTATTTTTTATTTTATTAATACAAAACAAATTTTTTTTTTTTTTTTGACAAATTATAAATTCTCGTTAGCCTTGAATTGTATGAGAACATGCTGATTGTTATTTATAGTTTATAAAACTAAAATTGATGAGCAAATGATTTCAGTGTCTCGCAGACTTTCAAGGATAATTGATCATTAATTAATTTGTTTGAAAATTGTGATTTTTCCATTAAATTAAGGGGGAAAAAAATAATGTGGATTCTTCAATTTTACATTATGTCTATAATTTTTTGGCAAGGATTGTGTCATGATGTTGATATTTTGGTAAAAAATAAATATTAAATTTTTTTTCCTACAAAAATTATTTTTTAAAAATTTTTTCTATAATTAACTATTTTTAATATGCCTAATTTTTTTCAATTTAAATTAAACTTATCCAATAGAAACACTCGAGCTTAATAAATTTTTTTCATTTTTTTGTTATTTTATTTAAAAACTGATTTTTAATTTTATAAAGATATATATGTATATAGGTAATTTTATGAACGATTTGAGTATTCCTTCATTAGTGTTTCACTACAAAAAAAAACTCTTTTATGTCAGTTTATGTTAATAAATAAATAAATTTAAAATTATTTACAAATATGTGGACAATAAATTTTTCAAAAATGTTATATTTTTGTTTTTAATTTACAGACCTGTCCACATAGAATGGTAGCGGTTCTAGGATTGGAACCAAATACATGGGTTTGCGATTGCATCAAACCATTTGTTTATTATTCCGAAACGAATTCTTGTCATGAAGTTTTCTTTCAAGGTCCATGTCCAACTAATTATTATTTAGTGTTTCCTAGTGGAGAATTAAATGCAAAATGTGAAGAGAATCCTTGTCACGAATACGCTGTTGTTCCATTTAATGGAACTTGTGCTCATCTTTATTCAAGGGGACCATTTTGTTCAAATGATTACTATGAATTACTTGTTAATGATAATTATGAACTTTATTGTGGTGTTCCCAAAGAATATACAATTATAACTGCTCCTCCAAAAGCATGTGAAAAAGGAAGTCGAAGAACTTCTTTAGGGCTTTGTAAAAAATCCTTACAATGAGAATTTTCACTTAATAATTTACCTAAATGAGATCTAATTCTGTTTTTTAATGACGAAAATTATATTCATATTTAATATTATATATTCGAATTATTGATGAGTAAAGTAAAAATTTCTCTGTTAACAAAGTGTTTTCATACCTATATATTACACTAATACCGAATTTTTCACATAAAGATTTAAGATTCTTACGCACGGTGAGCTTCGTTTAGGTTCAACCTAAACTGCATGACCCTTCTCAGGTTTTTTTTTATATCAGTTCGGTGATGCCTCACGATCATTTTAAGACGAAAATTAAAATAATCGTTGGAGGGAAACTCAAATTATATTGATTTTTAAATTTTTTTTCTAGGTTATTGAAGATATTTTCATTAAAATACCGTTTGGTAAAATACTCATTGCTTCAAAAGCTACAATTTAACATAAAAATAGATTATATATAATAATTAAACCATTTTGATACATAGAATTAAGAAAATGTTTAAAAACCCTGGCGGATTCGATTTGCGTAATGTCTACTTAACTAAGCGGACTTTAGGTAGACATTAGGTAGACATGTAAAAAAACGTATAAAAAAGCTATTAATCGACTTATTATGATAAAAAAAAGTTGATAAAAGGGTAAATGAATGTTTATAGAGTAAATTCGTACAAAATTTGTAATTAATAAAGCAATAAATAATTAATAATGAATGGAAATGTGCGCGAGGTACCTGATCAGTTCAGCTGTACAATTATTTTCGTGCTATTTTCATGAAAAGAATATAAATTAACTGCAAAAACAATTGATATTTATAAAAAAGTGTAAAATTGATTTAATTTTATTGTTTGCAATACGAATTATTAAATAATAATTAAGTTTTTATCAAATGTGAATAGTGTTGTGAAAACCTGTGAAAACTAATGAGTTACTACATTACCGATCGCATATGATAATAAAAAGTTCTCGATGAGTGTAACAAAAAAGCTGCAATCATGTCCGTAATTTTGGACGAGAAACAATTATGAAATCAATAATTATTTGTATAACTTTATTCTGCATTTTAAAATTCACTTTTTATTTTCTTTCAAAGCAAAAGCTTGGAAGAAAACATGCTCGCACTGTATTGTAAAAACTGGTGGCGCCATCTCTCATATGCGATCGGTAATGTAGTAACTCATTAGTTTTCACAGGTTTTCACAACACTATTCACATTTGATAAAAACTTAATTATTATTTAATAATTCGTATTGCAAACAATAAAATTAAATCAATTTTACACTTTTTTTATAAATATCAATTGTTTTTGCAGTTAATTTATATTCTTTTCATGAAAATAGCACGAAAATAATTGTACAGCTGAACTGATCAGGTACCTCGCGCACATTTCCATTCATTATTAATTATTTATTGCTTTATTAATTACAAATTTTGTACGAATTTACTCTATAAACATTCATTTACCCTTTTATCAACTTTTTTTTATCATAATAAGTCGATTAATAATAATAAGTCCAAGTCGGTTGGAGTTGGTTGCGCACGCATGGTGTGGCCAACTGTCGCCGAGTTGAAAATGAAAAAAAAATTGTGCGTGATCTCGTGCTCACGAAATAGTTGAGGTTATGTACCTCCCTGCTAAAAATAAAATCAGAAATCAGTCTCAAAACGTCAGAAATCCTGACGTTTTGAGACTATTTTGATGTTCTGTGATGCTGCTGACTAATTCTGACTTAAATAGTTTTTATGGGCCTGACGTTTTCTAAAAAGTGACGATTTCTCACTACGTTTTATTTTTTTTTGTAAAAAGGGTTCCAAGAGAGGTACCAAGGCCACTCAAACCCACCATATAACTCTATTATATTATATATTCCCTTTTTCCAACAGAAGGGTCCTTTCGAGGGTCCATCAGGTTTTATGACTTTTTAATGCAAAATAAAAAATTATTTAAATTTAAATAAATATTTTTTTAAATGTTATATTTGTAATTTATAGATTTTAACGATTCCAATGATATAAAACATTATGTAAAAACTCTAAAATTACATAATGATTATACAATAAATACTCCATTAATTAAAATTAATTCTCAATAATTTAAAAATATTTGCAAAAAATTTTATATCGTTGTAATTGTATTAACATGTACATTACGAATATAATATTTAAAAATCATTTTTTTCAAATGTAACAATTTTTAATTTTGCAATGAAAAGCCATAAAACCATAAAAGATCCTTCTGGCCTATACTTTTCTTTTTGTCCTTTTCTAACGTACATATAATATATATGGAATCACGTTTGTAAGACAAGGACAGAAAAGGGAAGGCGTCAATGACTACGACTATACTTTTAAAGTCCCTACTTCAAATTTGTATTTATTATTTTACAGTAAGCTAGTTTCCTTACATTTAGTTATAAGAAAGCAACATATGTTGAAAACCTATTCTTACCATTGTGTTAACTCTATATATATATATATATTTGAAAAAAATTAGAAATCGCTGGCTATTTCACATAAAAGTTTATTTTTTTACAACTAGATGAGCAAAAACATTCCGGTCTCTTGTAAAATAGAATATATGAATTGATCGCTCAATCAATCTCTGAGCGAATTTGATCCAGTTTTCACTAAATGTAAATTTGATTTGAACTAAATATTACATCTAATTATAGTGCAGTATGCTAAAAAGAGAAATTAAAATTAGTAATTATTTAGTTGATTTGTGGAAGAATTATGTTAAATTGAATTTTAATAATATAGTAATTAATATATGCATATTAATTAATTCTTATCATTATAATTAATTATAATAGTAATGAATGTGCTAAAACGTGAGCGAAAAACCTGATAAAATTCGCTCAGAGTTTACTTGAGACAATCCGACAGTATCTTATTATTCTAGACTATTTTATTTGTATATTACACATATTCTTTTAAGTTCGAATTCAAATAATATTTACATACGAATTTTTTGTTTAATTAAATATTTGCTGAAGCAAATTTTATTAATTGAATACATTAATATATGATAATTGGACTACAAATGTTTTTTGATCAATATAACAGTATACCTATTTTAACTTTACTTGTTAATTTTTAAAAATTATAAAATTTTTTTAAAATAATAATAATAATTATCAACAAAATATGTTGATAAAATTGAAAAAAGTAATAAGATCTTCTATTTTCATAAAACCGTATTCTATTTTTAAGATCTCAGTTAGGTTAGTTTAGCTCAGGGGTTAGGTATTCGGTTTGCGTTCGTTAGGTTGTGAGTTCGATTCCCTGCGTTTGCGAGATTTTCTTCGATAGGAGTAAATAAATATAATAAATTGTAAAAATAATAATTAAGAATGTGTAACGTAAAGATAAAAAAATGTTGTACGATAATTTATTTTTTTAATGATAAAATATTGATTTTTTTTAATTTTTAAATATTTGTAGTCAGAATTCATGAGAAGTAAGTCAGGAATCTTCAAAACTATTTTATAGAAAGAAATGTCATTTAACATCACAAATAGTCACAGGGTTTAATGATTTATGGTATGGCAAAAAAAAGGGTCTCCGACCCTCATAAAAAATCTGACTACTATTGACGATTCTTTGACTAAACCTCACTTATTGTGGTGTTCTGTGACTGCAATCGTAACAAAAACAGTCTCAAAACGTCAGAGATCCTGACTAATTTTTTGACGTTTTGTGATTTTATTTTTAGCAGGGCTTTGAAGCTGTAAACACGCTGTAAAGTTTAATAAATTATTTGTTGTTGTTACTGTTGATGTTGCCGCTGTCTCATCGTTTTTTAAAGAGAAGAAAAATATAAATTAAATTAAATTTTTCTTTTATAAATAACAAAATTTTTTTCCCCGAATAATACACACATGCAATGAATTTTATATTTGTAATATATAAATATAGTAATAAAAAAATATACAATTAATAAGATGAACTGTCAATACAAATTTTTTTTTATGTTTTTTATTGACATTATAATAAAAGTTTTTCATCATTTTGATTTCACAATATATTAAAAAGGTATTTTCATGAACATAACCTTACAATATTATTTTACATTTTATCACATGAGAAGGCCGTAATCATAAAATGGAATTAAATTTAAAAATATTTGAAAAATAATGGAAAACGTGCGTTAACATATTTATTATATTTTTAATTAAATACGATTTTTAAAAATAATTTAACTTAAGATTACATTATTCTCATTAACAGATTATTTTACTATATTATTTTAATGTTATTTTCAGAATTAAATTCAGATTAGAGTATTTAGATTATAGTGTTTAAAATGTTTGTAGAGTCTTAAATGTTTTCTTTTCTTCTAATAAGAAATCTGTATGTCAGGGAAAAAGTTATTATTTACATGGAAAAATGGAGTATTCAGGAAATTGGATTACAAAAATATTATGGCAACGCATGAAGAAATTAACTTTTTAAAGAATTATCACATATAGTAATTATATTCAATGAATTTTAGACGAAAAAATTCATTCATAAAATATTAAACTTTGAAAATTATCTGCATTCTCTAATATTAAAATAAGCAAAAAATATTGTAAGGTTATATGTTAATGACAATACCTTTTTAATATATTGTGAAATCAAAATGATGAAAAACTTTTATTATAATGTCAATAAAAAACATAAAAAAAATTTTGTATTGACAGTTCATCTCATTTATTGTATATTTCTTTATTACCTATATTTATATATTACAATAATATAAAATTCATTGCATGTGTGTATTATTCGGGGAAAAAAATGTTGTTGCGTTTATAAAAGAAAAATTTAATTTAATTTATATTTTTCTTCTCTTTAAAAAACGATGAGACGGCGGCAACATCAACAGTAACAACAACAAATAATTTATTAAACTTTACAGCGTGTTTACAGCTTCAAAGGTACATAACCTCAACTATTTCGTGAGCACGAGATCACGCACAATTTTTTTTTTTCATTTTCAACTCGGCGACAGTTGGCAACACCATGCGTGCGCAACCAAC